ATGTAGAAAATAATCATTTTTGTGATATTTTATTCCTTTAATTATTTTTTATTTGTCAAGATATTTGTGTAATCCTGTACATCCTGTATGTATTAAGAGTTTGGACCTACATAGGTGCATAGCTATACGATCTATGCTGGACTTTAGACTAGGTTTTAGTTGGTCAATGGTGCGGTTTATTTAAGTTCTTCAAAATAGCAACACGCAAACAATGGACCTTAACACACCTCCTCTTTAGACCAGCACTCCTATGAGTCCACAAAGTGGTGTAAATGGATTTGCTAGTTAAATATTGTGGTGCAAAATGTGAAAATTAGGGTTGCACTGGTCTGAAAATAGCAACAAATCATGCCAAACCTGTCTTACGACTTATTGCACCGGGTGTATGATAAGGCCCAAAATATGCGATTGCTTCAAGTTTGACATTTCTGTACTGAAAGATCTTGTGGGTAACTTATATTGGTCTCATACACTGAAGTGATCTGACTTTAAATTAGTTCACCAAGCTTTAACTTGCATTTCTGATCTGGCAGCTTTAGTCTGAATGTTATCTATAAGCTAGTGTGTTCCAAAACAATGACAACGTCAACATTAGCATTTTCTCACCTTCACCAATATAGATCATCAATTCCACACACATAGTCGGCATACAACTTAAACACTTTCAAAATAAGCCCAGTGCACATACAGTTTTCTGTATGGTAAATGGCACTACATTGGGGATGCATGATTTAGACAATATTGGGATATTTTGGTTACTTTTTTCATGTATTGGCTTGAAAAAGATAATCTAAGAATTCAGCAATTGGTTAAAGATGGAGAAAACACAAGGTTTTGAACAAAGTTCCACACAGATTGTGGTTAAAACATTCATACCAAACAAAATGACTACACCCCATATCATCATCATCATACATTTTTACAATGATTTACTTGTGCATGTCGTTGCCTTGTACTTGTACATGTGTAATTATAATAAATTGAAGCTAATCTAATCTAAAAAGACACCAACTACATTTCCATTCAGTGTAAAAATAGTTTAAAAACTGTATTTAAAAAAATTGTTAGATGACTTTAAAAGAATCATCTGTAGACACAATATTTAAAGACATCAAATTTCTCAAACTTTATTCCACCAAATTACTCTTCAATTGTCGTTTTAAATCTTTACTATAAATACTTTGCCACTGTCCTTTAAACCACTTGGTTTGTATTGGCTTTTAATCATTTAAAAACGTAATGAAATTTGGAAATATGTTACACTTAGAAGAACTGACTTTCACACTCAGTGACAAGATTTGTGACAAAATTTAAGAACCATTCATATTATTTTTGCAGAAGGACTGAACTTTTTTTGTGACTTTCTGTGGATTGAAAAAGAGAATCTTTTCAGGTCTTTACCACTCGCTTTTATGTTGATTTGATTATACCCATTATGATCCAAAAAAGCACCATAAAAATAGTCCACATGACTCATCCGCTATATTCCATGTCTGCTCAAGCCATGTTTTGTGTGCAAAACATGTGTCTCATACAAAAGTTATTCAGTGCTAATCTCCGCCTGCAGTGGCTAGTTAACCACTGCAGGCTGAATCACTCAGAGAGATAGATCTGAACTTAGAAGAGCAGATTACTTGATTTGATTTAGGTCTTTTAAATGATTCATATAAAGTTCAGCTCTGATGTTTGCATTAAGTATTTATGTAATTTCAATGATTTATTCTTAATAGACTTACATATACTTTTACTTTTTTATTTGTAATTATTTTTTACCCACTGAACTACCAGTGTACTAAAAACTTTTTCAATTTTAGAGTACACTGTTCCTTGAAATGACAATGTGCAAATGAAAAGAGGGAGATGAAATGAGAGGAAGTAAGTGGTTGTGAAAGATTCTGGTTTAGTGGGATGATGTGGGCTGAGGAACTTGAAAATGACTAAACAAAAATAAAAAGAAAAGAGAAGAGAAGCAAGGGGAAAGGTCTGCATATGCAGTTTTTGCTGCATTTTGTCCTGATGTTCACAATCTTCAGCAGCTTTTCCTAGATGAAGCAGAAGTTGACAGATGTGTAGAGACGGATGGATCAGAGATTTCCTTCATCAGCAGTTTTTAATATCAGTATGATTTTCCTCTGCAGCGGGGTATGAGGAGAGAGAAAACAGAAGAGGTTTATCTGTGACTTTGGCTTGTTTGACATTACATAACTTTGATCAGAACTTTTGACTTTATCTATATCTAGAAACAGTAGTTGATAATGGAAAAAAGCATAAACTTTGCAACCGTTTAGCATGCTATATTAGGACTGACACTTCTGTACATGGTTTAAGTCACTGCCTAAAACAAGTCATACATTTTATGCAGTAATTTGGTGCTGCACTTTGATCTTTACACTGAGTCTTTAAAATGTTATCATATGATCATCATCTAAATAATTCTTAGAAGAATTGTTTGTGTATAAATCAGCTTGTAATCATTGAAAAAATGCATGATGGTCAAATAAGTTCTGTATTGCACTTTTGTTGATGTAATGCACAGAACAACAAATCTTTTAAATGAAGAATTCAGTCTCTACAAAATATTTTCTTTGAAATAAATCAGCATTTTTAAGTTCACCCGGACAGCTCTTAGTTCTTGATTCTGTGTTTTTGAATGAATCTGTTGAATGAATGATATACTGTAAATAACACACCGGTCAACACTGTGGTTCAAATGGAAAAACTGTCATCTTGTTATTGCCATGTTCTGCTGCCCTACATCTCTTCTTTTCTCACAAGAGGTTTAAAAAAAGCACAATTGAAAGTCAACCATAAACAGGAAGCTGTTACCACTAGATGTTCAGTTGATGTACACAAAGGCTCATGGGTAAACTGTGGTGCTTTATATAGAATGGCGCTCTTTTTTTATTTCTGAAGCTAGACATAATGTTGTAGTTCCCAGCTATTATAAATGAAGCCACAGTGATACACCCATCTGCTGGTGTGGTTTAAGGGCTCTGGTCGCTCTATATGACAGAGAACATGATGCATGACTATAAACTGCTGCTTTAGCTGCACGTTTAGTGACGCCCAGAGCTAGACGGAAAAAAACTATTTTTTCTGAGGAAGATGACTTAAGCTCTGGATTGGTTTCCTAAAGGTGTGTGATTTCCATTAGCAGTACTAAAGGAAAGTGTAAAATACTGATCGTCTCCCTTACACTCCATCTGTCTGACAGTGGTTGGCGGGGTACAGTAGCGGTTCAGTTAGCGCCTGCTGGTAAGATTTCATAACTACACCATCTGCATGCAGAAAACGTCCTACTCCATTGACAAACATTTCAAATTATTAGCTGTGCATTCAGATGCAACACATTTAAGCGTAGGATTTTTGTTATCTTATAAGAGAGGTTTTGGCGAGCTGTTTTTATTGAATGTACTTTTAATTTATTTTAAAACTTTTAGAAGCATGAAGTAAATACTTCACTTCAAAAAGGTGATCCTGATTATTTATTATTTATGTTCTAATAATATCAGACAGTTCCGCTTTTTAAGGATTACTTCAGATAAAAAAAGGTTCATTTTAAGGCACGTTCACTTTATAAGCATTAGTATTTATTAGTAAGATAAAGTTGGGTTTAGGTTTTGTGGGAGGATTAGGGAGGCATAATAAGATCAAACTTCATAAGTACTAATAAACAGCCAATGTCTTAATAATAGGCAGATATTAAGCCAGTTAATAACATGAATTGTGAGCTAAACTAAAGTGTTTGAGTATGTTTTGGCAAGCTCTTTTATTTAAAGGGCACCTATTATGAAAATAATTTTTTGAAAGCTGTTTGGACAGAACTGTGTGTAGGTATAGTGTGTCCACAGTCATATTGGAGTGATATAAAGACAATAAGTTTATTTTTTTTATTTTCTGAAGTTAAAAAAGGATTTAAATCCATTTTGAGGCCCACTGCAACGTGACGTAGAAGTGTTTCCTGACTGAGCGATACATGTCTGTGTGTGTCTGTATGTGTGACCAGCCTCTGAACCCAAGTCTCCTGACAGACAGGGTTAATTAATTTGCAATTCTCACAGTAATTTCCACCTTCTTCATTCCTGTCAGTAAACTCTGGCTACTCTTGCAGATCAAAAGCAGAAATGCACATTATTCGCCGTTTTCCTTCACTATACTCTCTGTCGAGAATGTGACAAATGATTTGTTTTATAATGGAAAAATAAGTAGAACAGCGAAGGACAGCGAAGGTGACACAACAGCCGCTGGTGTAGGTGAAGAGTGATTATTTAGCATAAAATGTGAAAAAAATCCAGCAAATAGGTGAAAGTGACAAAATAACAATGAATAAAAATTAACTATACAATATTTACAAGGTGTTGGTCATTTACAGGTTACAGTTCATCCAAAAATGAACATTCAGTCATCATTTACTTACCATTCAGTGGTTCCAAATATATTCTGTTGAACAAGTTATTTTCACTAATATTTGTATGTGTTTTTTTTTTGTTTTTTTATTATCTAGTATTAAAATGAATGTCAATAGCTACTAGTTTCTAAGATTGTTTAAAATATAAATTTTGTGTTCAACAGAAAATGGAAGGTTTGAAATTACTTAAATGTGGAGCATGAATGGTAATTAGAATAAAATGTAAACTTAACAATAATAAAGTTTTATTTATGGGGTGTACGGTCTCTATAACATTTAAATCAGTGTCATTTCTGCTGTTTTGAACAATAACGTGCCTACATTACTCTGATTTGACATCCCAATCATTTTGATATTGACAAGCAATCATAGATATCTTGTCTGAGTCAAAAAGATGAATAGATGTAAATAGATGGCTGAAAGAAATGTAAAAAAATGTAACTTTTTCATCTAAAATATCAAATGGTGCCCTGCATAGATTTAGCAATTTAGCAAAGCAATGCAATAATTTCAAATATCGAGGAGACAATATTGATAATTGACTTTTTTGTTATGACATTATAATCAAGATTTTTCTGTTTTGTTTTTGCAGGTTTTCACCACATACTCCAACGAGGACTATGACAGACGCAATGACGAGGTGGACCCCATGGCTGCTTCAGCCGAGTATGAGCTGGAGAAGAGGGTGGAGAGACTGGATCTGTTCCCAGTGGAGCTGGAGAAAGGTACTTGACCCGCTTTACTGGGCTATGTGTGTTTTTAGAGCCTGTGTGCTATGTTGACTTAAGGGTCCTTAACGTCCTGTTTCAAAACAAACCGACTGAAGCGGCTTGTTGTGGTCTGTAAAGTAAGCAGCTTTTGCTGATTAGAAAGTCTGAGGGGTCGAGTTGTCTCTCCTACAGCAGTCTGGTGATTATTAAAAAGCTACTGTGCTCTGTGTAGTGTTTATGTTGCATCAGTAAAATTAGTGTACAACCAATATGGACTTTAAATAAAAGGAGTAATTAAGAATCATTCTGAGAGGATTATTTGAAATCAGATGTGTTTATAATTGCTACATAATTATAATCTGAAAATCTGCTCAAATGATTTACTGTTACAGGATTAGTGACATACTAATTCCAGATACTTAGTTATTGCCATTTAAAAGAATTAAGCTTGCTTAAATGGCCATTCATAATTTAATGTTTTGGCATTATTTATACATGGTTTCAGTGCGTTTCATGTTTGGTATATTCAGCGTTAATATTTTGAATTAGCTTTTATTTTTGTTTTCAGTTTATTCCTAATAATTTTACCATTTTCTGTTTAGTTTCTTTTTTCATATTTCTAAATAGATATACAGTGCTCAGCATATATAAGTACATCCTTCACAAATCTATCTTTTACATTCATATTTTGAATAGGAAGCGATACAATATATTTGTGCATATATATTAGATTAGTGAGTACTGAAACTAATCTGGAGCTTTTCTAACAAAATAACTTACGATAAGGGTCCAAAAACTAGTACAGCCAAATTTATGTTATAGAAAAGAACTAAATAGAAATTTTAAAATTAGGGAAAATCAAGAGAAGCAAAAAAAATTGAAAAATTGAGTTTGTATTTTGTAGATTGTAAATTATTTTTGCAATATTTTGCTTGAATTTAATTGTATTATCATTCAATTTCTAAATATGTTTGGTGACTAAATTATTATTATTATTATTATTACTATTATTTATTAATTTATTCCTTTATAGTTGGTCAAATGTCAGTTAAAAAGAATGTTCTAAAATGTTTTAAAATGTGTATTATTATTATAAGTACATTCTACTTTACAATAGTAATAGGCAATAATTCTGTTAAACAGAAACTTTTATTTTGATAATTTGTAATAACATAAAGATGCTTGAATTTCTGTGTACATAATATGATATGAGTTTCTCCTCAAATAAAATCAAATGCTCGTCAAATGATTTTAGAGCAGCTGGAGCATGTGGAGATTATGGGTAAACTCACACTATGCCCGGGCGCGTTTCCCGGTTTGTTTGACAAGTGTGAGTGCTCTGAATCAGCCCAAGGTGCAGTTCAGTTGGCCGGCCCTGGCCCGATTGGAAGAGGTGTGCCAGAGCGCGGTTTGGTTGGGCTTTGGCGCTTATACACTTGTAGTTTGAGTGCAAAGCGCACCTGAGCCTGAAACTGAAAACACAGCGTCGCTTTCAAGGCACTGTTTCATAAGGATTTATTAATCATTCTTACTTTTGAATGAACACAAACTGTCATACTTTTTAAGATACAACCACCTCGCTGCACATCAGCTGAGACCTTCAGCAAACCTTTCCTGCAGCACAATGATTTTTATGATCATTTATTAGTGTCAAAAGTTGTTGATCTGTTCGGCAAAAGAGTTGACTGTGTTAACTGTATCCCAAATGACTAAAATAATATAAAACAATATAACTAAGGCAATGTCCACTGTGATAAGCGAGAATGCTTCTCTTTCTTTTAAAATGAACTGTCGCTTCATTGATGACGTAAGCCTGCTCATGCTCGGTAAAATGCAATGTTGGTGCAGGCTGAGGGGGAGAGGGAAGGGTGGAACAAGTCTGCTTTGGCACGGTTCAAGTCAACTGTACCTAGTGTGAGTACGTCCCAAGTGTTTATGTTCTACTATAGTGAAGAGAAGCTGAAAACACTACAAATTCAACTATAAGGCAGTGTCATTTTGACATCCCACATCATCTTTTGAATGGTTTTACAACACTGCTTTTGAATAATTTATTATTTTTGAATAACACAAATTTTTATGACCAAGTTCTATTCACATTTTCTGTATCAGAAAAATCAGAGGGCCTTAAATTACCTTGCTTGAAGAACTGAAGGCTGAAATGTACAAAATAAAAGTATAATACACTACTGCAAAACCTGGTGTTTGTGGTGGTATTTGTTAATGAGATTATTCCTGTGAACTGTGATTAACTCTGATTCTTAGATAAAGATCTGATTCTGATTCTCAGATAAAGACGGATTGGGAATCAGCATCATTGGGATGGGTGCCGGCGCAGACATGGGGCTGGAAAAACTGGGAATCTTCGTAAAGACGGTGACTGAGGGAGGAGCTGCACACCGAGATGGAAGGTCAGTTGAAAAATTCTGAGAGATGAGTAGGAATTTTTGGGGATCAGATTGAAAAAAGAGAGAGAAAAGAGAAATAAAACCTCCTGTGTATCTGTACCACTATTTCATCTGTTTCCATCAGTTCATTCTGCAGAATGAATTTAACAAAACCAGAGGAATCAGAGAAGCTTAGATGTTGATGCTTTTGAATTAATATGAGACCACATTTATCTTCTTGTTAAGTGTGACGTCACACAAAGCGGGTCCAAGCGCTCCATCAAACTGTATTGGGAGACTCAACAAATGGTAATAATAAACGTTTACAGAGTGCTGTAATACTTTCAAAAATCATGATCTCTATATACATCCATGCCTAATGTTCACTGGCCAGAAAGTGGTTATTTTTGTATAAATTGTTAAAATATTGATGTCTGTCATGCAGAAAGTCTTGAGACAGTTTTCTACCGCCATGATTTGATATAAAATTTACTTTAATGTGTGATATGACTAAAAAGTGTCATAAACTAATATTTTCTCAATTCAAATGAGTAGCGGCTTGGACCCAGAAACAGTATTTCATACGTCACAACTTAATAAGCGGGAAGTGTCCATGGTTTTGTTAGTTTATTAAACGAAAGTCATAATTGAGAGAATATCCTGGTTCTCACAAATCAAGGAATTTCTGGAATGTCATGAAATTTTGAACGGTTTATTCCAAAAATTTAAAGTCAGGAACTTTTTATAGTATCATGTCCAAGTCATCAAGTATCAGAGATGTTTGCTTTCAGTTGCTTTTCAGTAAAATGTGGTCATTTTTCTATACCACATTGTTTATTTGTTGCTGTTCTATGCCTGTTCTTTTGGTTAGGCTATTTTCAGCCCCATTTCATTCCTTTCCCACTCATCAACTGGCGACTGTACCTGTTAACAAACACTAGCATGCTAGGATAATAAAAGCTTTTGCTTTAAAAAGTATTGTTTAAACGTAGACAAAAGAAAAGCTAAAAGTAACGTTTGTAAAGCTAATAGTAATCTAATAAAGGGATATTGTAGTTCACAGAAAAATTTTAAATGACTTAAATGACTTTTTATTAACTCCCTCTCAAGGGGTTCTAAAACTCTATGACTTTCTTTACACTGTTGAACAGAAATAAATACATTGAAGAAAGCAGAAATCCTGTAACTATTGACTTTCATTGCAGGAAAAACAAACACTATGAAATTCGATGGTTAAAGGTTTCCAGCATTTTTTTTTTTTTGTGTGTTTAAGAGACAAGTAGAAGGTGACCAAATAGTGACAGAAGTAAATTTTTGGGGGGTGAACAATCCCTTTGAAGCCCAATCCCAATTCTATTTTTTTAACCCTACCATTTCCCTTGACCCTTGAAACAGAGTGTTTTGGGGAAGGGCTTTAAAATTAACCTAAGTAATGGGACAGCACTACAACACCTGCACACATCATTATATGTCATCTCGATCTCATGCTTCATATGAGGTTATTCCAGTTGCGTTATTTTTTGGTGTTTATATTCAGGAAATCACTGAACGCAACAATATCATGTGATCACAACGATATAATGTGGCAATAAAATCATAATATGATGTGGCAATAAGATCACATTTACACTGTGGCCATATTCATCTATGTAAACACACGAAAACAACATTAACATTATTCCAGACACTGTAAAAAGCTTATTACCATTTCTGACAGGGTATTCCAGTGTCAGATGTGAAAGTATGAGACTGCTGTATAGGAGATATTATTATGGATTATAGATGACAGTGAAACAAAAATGCTGTTATGAATTTAATAAAAACATGCTTGTTCATTTTAAAAATTCGTAATGACGACAGAAAATACTAATTTGTGCAACTCCTTCCTTGTGCAGCCATGCTGCTGTTGTAGCTGGTGTATTCTGTGACATTTTTGTACCCCTTGGTTTTTAAGTGTGGTCATGAAAAATCTCTGTTTCAAGGGCTTTCTATCTCTACCCCTACACCTTCAAGCTAACGAGAATTGGGACACCCCTACCCTTTTACGTGAACGCGCAAAACAAGGGGTTGGAGTACGGGGAAGAGCTAAGGTGTAGAATTGAGATTGGGCCTAAATACCACTCAAACAGTATGTTTAACAATACGTAATATCCATTGTTGTGCATGCAGAATGACATTCATGCTAAAATCACTTTGATATGTTTCGATTTTATCCTATTATTTGAATATTACAGTATTGATATGAAATAAAAAAATGTTTATGAATATTTAACTTAGTCAGTAAAAGGTCAATGAAAAGTCAGGAAGTTTGATATTTCGCTTATAATGATAACCCTTATTTACTGCATGATGGAGGAATGCAGTACTTTATGGAGTCTGATCTGGCATTGGCATCTGAGCTCTTCAGAATCCTGAAGTGAGTCATAGAGAAGCTACTTTTACCCATCACGCTCAAGAGGCTTGAAAAATAACAGTAATTCGGCCAAAACAAGCCCACTTTTGTTCACAACGTACCTTAAGAGCGCAGGAGATTACGAATGTGAGTCTTTCTCAGTATTTTTATTTATTTCTCTCTGGTCTTGAGCCAGCAGGTTCATGGTGCCTTGCAGTGGCTTCTTCCTCATTTTGACGTGAGATGTAGAAACCTAGAAACCGCAGGAGATACATACATCCATAGGTCAAAAAAGACACTCAGAAATGACCTCATCTACACTTTCTGGCATCTGATTGGTTCTCCCGTTGTCAATCAAACAGACAAACGGGCTGCTCGGGTGTTTTGGACGAGTCTTGATGGTTTGACATGTTTTATGGCCAAAGAAGTCAATCAGTCATTTTAACAGCCTGAAGTACAAGAAGAGATTTAGTAAAGTGGGGCAGTGATTCACTGCTGCTGTTTTCAGGTCTGCTGTAGACTGAATGAATGATTCCTCTGGCAGTGTCAGTATCTTTTACACATACAGTGAGGAGATTGATCGGCTCAAGATATTTTACTGATGTGGTTTCCCATGCTGAGGGGTTGTCTTTTTATTGTTGTACAGGATCCAGGTGAATGATTTGATCGTGGAGGTGGACGGGACCAGTCTGGTGGGTGTGACGCAGAATTTCGCTGCATCAGTCCTCAGGAACACCAGCGGCACTGTCAAGTAAGGCAACTGAAAGCATTTGCATATGCACTTAATTTGTTTTGCCAAGTCATATGCATTTGAAGACACAATAACACAATAATATAATAACAATAATAACAATTTTAACACAATATTAAACATACTAATAATAACTGAATTATTTTGTCTTTACCATGGTGATTGTACATAATATGTCACTAGTTATTTTGTAACATACTAGTTTTCAGTTCAAAATGCTATTTAAAGGTTTAACTAGGTTAACTCATCAGCCTCATCAGTGGTCAATTTGGCAGGTCAAGTTGTTTGTTCTGCAGCCAGTCAAAAAAATTATACTTTTGTAAGGGTGGTAATAATATTGACCTAAGCAGTTTTGAATAAAAAAAAAAATACTTGTATATTAATAACTTGTATATGAAAAAGTTTATATATTTATTTTAATGTTTAATTCATTCCAGCAAAACTAAAAATGTATGACTTTAAACATCACTCAAAAATATAAACGTTTGATTCATGATTATTATTCTGTCCTATTATTTTTGGTCCCTTAACAAGTAGGAGGCACATATGCCAACTGTTGTGATTCCTACCCCATTCACCTGATTTGCTTGTGAATACCCTCAAATTAAAGCTGACAAATCCATTGAGTTGGTGTAGAGAGCCAAAAATGTTAGAATTATGTCGGTGTCCAAATATTTATGGGCCTGACTGTATGTATAAAAATGTAGCATTTATGGTCAGGTGTTCGAGTAAAACATAATTTTTGTTTCATTCTGTAAACTATTGATAAAACTTTCAGCAATATTATATTAATCTTTAGACATAATATCAGCTGCCAAAATGTAAATAAATTGACGTTAGGTTTGATAGCCCTAAATTTTTAGTCACTTCAAATGATGAACATTTGTTATTATATATTTTTTTCATTTTCTGAAAAAGCTAAAACACTGTAAATGGCAATATTTTTGAAGTTTAGAAGAACTATCATCAACATTTTATTGCATGAAGTGTGTATTAACATTTTGCTCAAACAGAGTAGTTTCTTAATTTTGAAATACCCTTTAAAAGTTTCCTGTTAAATTTTTTTTCTGAGCAAACAATAATTACCTTGATTAACAAAATATACGTTTTTGCTACTGTAATTGTGTGTATATTTTCATGAAGTATCCTCATTTAAAACTGAATAAAGTAAAAATGGTTTGTGCTCACCTGATTGTCTGTTTTTTGTGTGTGTGTGTGTTGCAGGTTTGTGATTGGCCGAGAGAAGCCGGGGGAACAGAGTGAAGTGGCCCAGCTGATCCAGCAGACTCTGGAGCAAGAGAGATGGCAGAGAGAGATGATGGAGCAGCGCTACAACCCCTACATGGAGGAGGATGAAGAGGTAAAGCTTCATCACTATTACACTTTCCCAAAAAAACATGCAAACTCCACACAGAAACGCCAACTAAGTATTGATTTATTTTTTATACGTCTTAAATATTACTATCACATTACATACTGCTTTTTACGCCACCAGCCACAAAATTTTATAAGATAAGCTGGAATTCCTAGTTGGTGTGTGCGTGTGTGTGTCATACTTTTTTACGTAACATTTGGTAAGAGCACACAGAAGATAAAAAGCTAGGTCAGCAGGATTACTTGTAGGGTCATTTCATCAGTAACATCTTAACTTGGGTTTAAGGGAATGTCAAAAGTCTCGTGATAACCCCCAGTAGCACGGGTATTCCAATGAGCGCCCTGTAAAGAGTTAAAGTTTTCCAAAAATGTTATTAGTTACCATGTTGTTGCAAATCCCTGAGACATTTGCTTATTTTAAAACACACTTTAAGACATTTTAGATTTGAGGGCTTGTGTTTAAAAACTTAAAACATGAAATAAATAATAATAACTTAACAACTTTACAACCCAAATCCAATTATAACCACTTGTTTGGTAAACAAAACAAGTCTTTCATATAATATATCTACTAAAAGACTGAAAATATTGTTTAATAAACTGTATTGTACTTAAATCATCTAAATATTTGCACATTGGTTGATAACTGAAACTAAAACACAACCTCTATAAAAATGTTCACACACATTTAAATAAGTAAATAAACAGATACAATGATGGGCTAAAACATCTATGCAAATCAGCAAGCTCAGATTTCACGTGGGCCTAGGTGAATTCATATTGTATTTATTAACTGGGTATATTCTGTCACACTTCATGATTTAGTAGAAAATAATCTGTGAATAAATGTTCTGAAGTGAAATGAAAGTTTCTCATGCTCCTGAGCAATGAATGAAAAGAGACTAGGATAGACTGCACATTTTATAAGGATGTGCCAGAAAGACAGTAATGCATGAAACTTTTCTAACAAGCACTGATGTATGACCATGAGTGAGTGACTTAAAAAAAAGCACAGAAGCATCCGAGACAGTTTATGTCAGCAGTGCGACTTAGCACAACACAAAAAGTCCTTATTTTTGTTTTGTGCATGCACAAAATGATTCTCTTACCTTAAAAATATTCTGATTAAACTACTGAAGGCAAATGGTCTGCTATGATCATGTTTTTGTAGCTTTGAATGAGCCGGTACTGTTGCTGTCCATTGAGGATGAGAATTCATGTAAAGTAGCTACATTTGCATTCCAAAATGAACAAAGGTCTCTTGGAAGGACATGAGGGTGGGTAATTAATTGTACCTTTAATTTTCATTTTTGGGTGAAGTAAATTCATTCAAATATCACACTCACAGACTAATCAACAGTGGAAAGGTACAAACAAATGACACAAACTGAGCAGGAGGATTTGTGAGACATTAAAAGCGAGTGTGAGATGAATATTCATCTACTTTACCTGCAGCACCGTGTTTTTCCCTCTCTAAATGATTATTTTCTCTTGACTATTTGCCAAGAACAAGGTAAAACATTATCCCTTCATAAATCTGTCAGTGCATAAATGTGTCATGTTTATGATGTTTAAAGTGCTCATAAATCAAGTTACAGTGCTCAGCGTAAACGAGTACAATCCTCACAGATCTTTCTTTTAGATTAATATTGTCTGTAGCAGAGCTGACCAAACTAGGAGCTGCGGGCCAAAATTAGCCCATGGTAACTTGATTTGGCCCACCATCCCATCTGAGAAGAGAGGGAGAATGATTGGGATGATTTTGAGATTGTCGATTTAAATTTAATCTAACCCTTTGTTTGTTTGTTTGTTTGTCGTTTTATTGTTAAAAGCTAACTGAAATTAAATGCTTCAATTAAATGATGTAAATCATGGGGTCACCAATCTCGGTCCTGGAGGGCCAGTGTCCCTGCAGGGTTTGGCTCCAACTTGCCTCAACACACCTGCCTGAATGTTTCAAGTATACCTAGTAAGACCTTGATTAGCTGGTTCAGGCGAGTTTAATTAGGGTTGAAGCTAAAATCTGCAGGACAAGTTTGGTGAAAATTAGATGTCACTAGTGTAAATTAATCATATTTTCTTTAAATGTACAGTATACACTGTCACCTGAAAATGCAGAGATTTTGGTTGAGCAAATCAAGTCAAAGGCAGATTCTTCTTGACTAGTGTATTCGACATTGAACTCCACTGTGTCATAAATGTGATTGTTTGTTTTATTCCAATGAGTTTTGATTTAAAAAGCTATACTGCACTAGTTAATACAATGTAAAGTAATGTTTTCCATTTATTTATAATATAATTAAATAAAAAAATTAGGCATGGCATCTTTGATGTAAAATAGTTTTGTATATTTACCTTTGGCCCACCGCTCTCGACGATATTTGGTTTTTGGCCCTTCGTACTAAAAAGTTTAGGCACCCCTGTTATATAGGATGCTTTATAATAGTAGATGTGTGCATATACAAAAGATTAGTCAGTAGTATCACAGCCAAAACTGGAACTAATCTAACAACAAATTTATATCGCAGTCCAAAAAATATTCATTCATTCATCCATATTCTTTTCGGCTGAGTCCTTTTATTAATCTGGGGAGCCACTGTGGAATGAACCGCCAATTTATCCAGCATATGTTGGATGCCCTTCCAGTTGCAAGCCATCACTGGGAAAAGTCCAAAAATTAGTACAGCCAAATTAACATGTTAGGGGGGGAATATTGAATACAATCTAAATAAACAGGAAAAACTCAACAGAAACGAAACCTTTTTTTTGTTGTTTGTTTTTTGCAACAACTCGTTTGAATTTAAAAGTATTATTTTTCAATTCATAAATATGTTAGGTGATCAAACTCTTATTTTAATGGATACAACTGTTTAATCAAACTGTTTCTTATAAAGGGCCAAAAACCAAACTAGATTGAGGGATGTGCATATACTGTATACCAACCGAATATATCACACAGCATTACATTAAATTTGCCATGGGTAATTTCCTAATATATTTGCCAATATTTAAAAATATCTAGAAAACGTTACTTTAAGTAATGTTACCTAATGCAGTGTAATTTTTAACACTTTACAACAAACCTATTACAGTAAAAACATAAGCGATCTCATTTATAACACATATTGAATATTGAAAACAGTAGTCGACCTGCTTCTGCCCTCGCCTTGTTTTGCCCGCTGATGTCTTGTGCATTGCTTTTTGTCAAGTGACAGTTTTTACATTTTAAAAGTCTGATTCATTCACAAAGTGTAATTAAAACTTTAATTTAATTCATTTTTGTATTTTGTAGCTCAGCAATACAAAAAAGAAACAAAGGGTTATGTTAAAATCGAAAAAATCTCTGTCAGAGGCATTCACCATTACACCCCCATCCTTCTCTCTGTCTTTTCAAATGGGATGGTGGTACAAATCAAAGGTTACTTACTTTGGGCATATCTGGTTTAAATGCACAGAAAAGGTCTATGTTCTCTGAGAAATGAACAAAAATATTCATTTTCAAAAGGCTGTGCTCAGTCTGAAGAAATGTGTGCAGTGTAATGCTTCTAAATGATGGGCATGATTTGGCTGCGTGCAGTGGAAAACATTTAACATCAAAATGAGAAATGGTGCAATCACCATAATTAAGTCTTGATTTAAAGCACTGCATTGCTTTAACACATTCAAGCTGTACTTCCTGTACGCATCTCATAGCTGTCCTCCACACCTGCCCACATTAGCGTGGCGTGAAGGGAATTGATTAATAATTGAGAGGTGGAAGATTCACAGTATTCTTGGAGATGGCGGGTGTGAAAGTAAGGGCAGGATTGAATGGCAGTGCGTCTGCCGGCTGGATTTGCCAGCTCAGTGGCCAAGCTCTCAGTGCGCTCTCCTCCGCAACACTGAACTCACGTCAGTCTGATATGGTCTTAACGGGTGAGAACTGCCCGAACAGACAGTTTGTCTGCTGCTTCATCCACATGCCCGAGTTCAGGCCGACAGTATGACAAACTGAGCTCACTCAGACAGAAAAACACATTTGTACATACAGGAGCAGCTCTTCTTGTACAGTATATTTTATACAGTATCTCTCTTAGGCAGAGAGAGAGAGACGGACAGACAAAATCTAAACTAATAATTTGATCAAACTCAGTAAATTGATCAAATGTAATGTAGCTTTTTTATTTTTAGTAAATGCTTTAATCTTTAAAACATGTTGTTTCTGCAATTTTATTTATATATATAATATGAAAAACACAGTAATGATGCTGAAAATCCTCATGTGCTGTCTCAGGAGTTAATTGCGTGGTACATTTCACAATATATTAAAATATTTTTGAAAATATTTCATTGTAATATTGTTTTTATCAATTCAATGCAGCTAAGATGCTTTCTAAACATTTAAAAATGTTTACTGACCTTAATGCCAATATAATAAAGTATAATATATAATAATCATTATGATAATATATTTAAAATTGTATACAGTATATTATATATAATGTACATGTATTTTAAGCAGATTAAAGAGATTTCTGAAGAATAATAGATGCTGAAGACTTGTTTGTTCATTCATTCATTCATTTTCTTTTTGGCTTAGTCCCTTTATTAATCTTTTAATGAAAAAGTTTGCCATAGCGTAATGAACCACCACTAATTTATCCAGCATATGTTTTGCACAGCGGATGCCCTTCTAGCCGTAACCCATCACTGGGAAACACCCATACACTATGGACATTTTAGCTCACCCAAATCACCTTCAGCGCATGTTTTTGCTGGGAATGTGGGGGAAACCGAAGCACCTGGAGGAAACGTACACAAACACGGGGAGAGCATGCAAACTCCATTTAGAAATGCCAACTTAACCAGCATCCTCCTTGCTGTGAGGCGACTGCATTACCCACTGTACCACCGCGCTGCCCCAAGACTTGTTTAATAATTCATAAAAAAGAATTGCAAAGTACTTTTTCTATATAAATATTATAAATATTGAAATTTGATTATTTTATTGTCATAATATTTATCAATATTAAATGTAGTGACTTGAAAAAGACATTCTGTAAAGACAAAGACCTCAAATTTAATGTAAAGAATATAATTTTATATATAATAATAATAATAATAACAATAAATAAAATAATATAGTTTTAAGTAATGTAATTAATTTGTGTGTGTTGATAATGTTTTATTATTATATATATTATTACATTTCTAATTTAGTTATTTTAATCAACATTTTGAAGAAGTTTTATTAAAATATTATTTTTTATTTTGCAAATAACACTTGTTAGATGTCATGTAAATAGAACATGTTAGAAATGTTTTATTAGTCTCTGATTTACCTGAAAACTGTGTATTTATTCCAAAAGCTCAAGACTTTGTTAATTATAGCTTTTGTCAAATTTGGTAAAATATGTAGATGTAACTTTTTCATTTAAACGGTTCAGTTTGGTGATGAATGTTCATAATTTCCCACAGCTATATTTTGGTTGCCCACTGAAGCTAAGCAGTGTTGAGTCTTGTCAGGATCTGGATGGATCACCATCTACAGGTGTTTGTGAGGTGTTGCATACTTTGAATTGTGTGGGTCCCAATGCTGCAGGATAGTGACAGGGACTCTATAGTGTAAGAAGCAGATGACATAGAGCATTAAACTGAGGTCCTGACCCTGGATTCTCTGTAACTGTGTGCCACCGCTCGTAAATAGTAGAGCTGTAACCCTGGCAGCCTGTGCAGATTTCCTCTGTTGCTCTTTGTCCTCCTAATAACCGTCCTCTCTCTCTCTTTATCTGTGTTTTAAATACAATTAAATCTAGAGTACTTGTGGAATTTTCTTTTTACAGATCTACATAAGATTGGTGTAAATATTCTAAAGAATTTATTTTACAAGTCATTATTAACAAGCACACCACATTGCATCAGAGGAACTGAGATGTTTGTGTCATTATGCGTGTCATGAACCCTGATATGAGTTTGCAGACAGGAAGTCATTGTGCGGGAGTTTTGCCTGCTCGTGTCTCAGCTTGCAGTGGAAGTCCCCTTAAAAGGATGTTTGTGATGGTGTATATGCGACACGCTCTTTAGGCCTTGTTTGGTGTATGGCAGGCATTTGGGGTCAGAGTAATTGACGCTTTTGGATGTGGGGTACTGGCTGGTTGTTTCATTTCAGATGTGTTGGTACATGCTTTTCACTCTGGTGCTCAGTTTTCTCAGAAATACACAAGTGACAAGTATTTGGGTGCATGGATGTTTGTTGAAGGTCCGAGATGTTCTCCAAGGTTCCAAATAAGTACAAATCTAGCATGGAAATGAATCAAATGGCTTCAGTTTGCTTTACTTCATCTTCCTGCAGCTGCACAGTCAATTCAAAATGGTGGTTGGCCAGTCACAGGAGTGTTTTTATAGTGTCCTGGCATGTGTTTTCCTCCCAATCCTATTGGCTTCAGGCTTGCTTAACTCTGACATCTAGTGGTTGATGGTTTTATCACACTGATCAGACTCCTACATGAGGGTATTTTGCATTAAACACACACAACAATGTCTCAGTGTCCTTCTGTTTTCTGTCTGTTCTTTTCAGACGGGTGAATGTGCCACCGATGAAGAGGAAGAGATGAGCCCCATGTTTCCTAATGCCATTGAGGTGTTTGATCTGGCAGAGAATGAAGACATGCTCTCTCCTGTGGAGATGGACCCAGAGAAACTGGCTCACAAGTTTAAGGAGGTCAGTGGAACATGAGGACCATTTTAAAACTGACCAGAAAAAGTGTTCAGACCGTCTCACGCTGCTTTTACTGACTGTGATTTGCTCTATAAATTACCTGTGAATTGATGCCCTGTGGATGCCAACGGCTGAACATTATATTAATTGTATGATCAGAAATCTAGGTTTTAAAAACTTTTATTTACATTTGATTTCATAATCTGCCTGTCTGTCTGGCTTAGTTTACCTAATTATCTCATTCTCTTTTAACTATCAGTCTATTACAGTTTGTCTGTTGAATCTTTTATGTCAAAGTTAAAGTATTTGAAACATGGGTATTAGGAGTTCAACAAGACACAGATCCCACAAGATGAGATGAGATGAGATACTAGACTGAGTTAATGAGAATCAGACAAGATTGAGTCTAGCACTATATATATGTATATGTACACCCTTCACAAATCAATCTTTTAAATTAATATTTTTATGAATATTTGTGCATATACATTAGATTAGTCTGTACTAAAGCCAAATAAGGAGTTTGTCTAAGGATGTAATTTGTTTTTGCAATATTTTGCTTGCATTTAATTGTATTATCTTTTAGTTTCTAAATATGTTTGGTGACTAAAATATTATTTTAATAAATATATCTGTTTAAGAAATCTGTTTTGTTGAAATGCACCAAACATACATTGCCTCTATTCACTAATAAAACTAAATGTAGGTGCATTTTGAAATGAACTTGTTCTTGAAAACTAAATATTTAATGGAATTAAACTTCTATTTGAATAAATTATATGCAGCAGTAAACATGTAAACACTGCAACACATTTTCTCTCAAACTCAACTTGCAGGCAAGTAATGGCACAAAATATTATACAATATATTAAGGCCAAAATTATTAATACCCCTTACAAATATTCTGACTTAAAGTTTTTTTATTCAACCAGCAAGTTTTTTTATTTTTATTATTTGACCAGAAATGAGACAGGCTTCTCACAAAAGGTAATAACACGATGTACAAGAGGCTTCATTCTTGAAAAAAAAAAAGTTTGCCAGCTTTTATTGACATTTGTAGAAAGTGTATGCAAACACTCATACAGAGAAGTGGACAAAACTGTTGGCACCCTTCAATTTTGTACAGTTTCTTTATATTGCCACAATTTGAAAACAATATCTGATTTGATTTGTTTATTTTCTGACATTTTTGATTAATCAAATAATTAATTTTTATTTTTATATTTTATTTGATTAATTTTCGTTCATTCATTCATTTTCTTGTTGGCTTAGTCCCTTTATTAATCCGTGGTCGCCACAGCGGAATGAACTGCCAACTTATCCAGCAAGGTTTTACACAGCAAATGCCCTTCCAGCCGCAACCCATCTCTGGGAAACATCCACACACACATTCACACACACACTCATACACTACAGACAATGTAGCCTGTGGGGGAAACCGGAGCACCCGGAGGAAACCCACGCGAAGGCAGGGAGAACATGCAAACTTCACACAGAAACACCAACTGAGCTGAGGTTCGAACAAGCGACCTTCCTGCTGTGAGGCAACAGCTCTACCTACTGCGCCACTGCCTCGCCTGATTAATTTTCATTTTTAGGTTATTTCAGTGATCACTGTACTTTTTCTTTCTTCAGTCAAAACCCACCAACGGTTTTGTCCATGTCTGTATATATGAATCTATTGCAAGGATCTGAAATCCTCCTGTAACACAGTTGTTGAAATTGTGGTTATGGTACAATATGTAAAACTCTGTTAATAGCCCTCTTAGATATGACTGCATTTTGCTTCTTCCAGATTAATAGAAGAAGAGATTCTTCGTTTTTATCACCATTTTACATATAAATAATAGCATCCATGTTTTTTGATGATGCTGTAATGTTAGAAATTGTGAAAAATTAATTGGAAGTGGGGGTGACCTTGCATGGCTACAGGCTACAGACGATTTTTGGCACTGATGTAAAAGATGTACTTTACTTACTGCAAATGTAGCCAAGTTTTATAGAAACAAGAAGTAAAGCGCCTCTTTAGAAGTTTCAGATGATGTTATTGCATAATTGAAATCTCATTTGAATTGTTTTTAGACACATATCTGAATCAATAATCCTAAGAAGTATGCACATTACCATTGCCTCCACTGAGTGATTGAGTAATCCTCTCCATCTCTGTGTCTCCAGCTCCAGATCAAACATGCTGTGACTCAGGCTGAGATCCAACAGCTCAAGAGGAAGGTATGACCATCACACACACACGCTTCCACATGTCATCGTGCTCGTCTTCGTTTTCAGCTTTCAGAATAATAAACTTTTATAAGAGATTGTTATGTGACCTTTGTTTACCCTTGTGATGAGTTATGTGTGTGTGTTTCCATAGCTGGCTCACGCCGAACAGGATAAGCTGCGCTGGAGGATGGAGAGGGCTCAGCTGGAGCAGACGGTGAGGGAGAATAAGGAGCGCATGGAGAAGTTGGAGGGTTATTGGATGGAGGCTCAGAGCTTATGCCAGGCAGTTGATGAGCACCTGAAGGAGACGCAGACCCAGTACCAGGCACTGGAGCGCAAGTACAGCAAAGCCAAACGCCTCATCAAAGAGTACCAGCAAAAGTGAGTGAGAGATTGTGAAGTCATACCTACAACATTGATTGTAAAGGAATTTCAGAAATCAGGTGTCCCTAGAATGTGTCTTCGAAGTTTCACATCAAAATCTTTTGTCATTTATTATTACCTTGATTTAAATAGCCACTTTTTGAATACAAGTTATTAGTTAAGTTATGTCTGTCTCTTTAAATAGAAATGAGCTGCTGCTCCCCCTCCAGGGTTGCCAGGTTTTCACAACAAAAACTTGCCCATTGGCCAGTCAAAGCTAGCACAAGTAAATCAGAAACCAAAATATGCCACATGCCCATTCAAAAATAAAAAAAAGGTCCCACGTATTAAGTATTAAGTGTCCTTAACTACAATGTACTTGCATCAAAGTATAAATACAATGTACTTATGTGTTCATAATGTACTGCAGAACACTTCTGGCGCTCTTAAGGTGGGATACGCGTGAGGTTGGAGACAGGTTTGGTGGTATGGTTCAGTTTAAGGGTGGGTTAATTTGTAAGGGATGATCAACAGTGCAAATGTTACAGAAATCAATGACATGCAGGTATTTAATCAAGCATAAGTACATGTATTTACACAATATAAGTACATTGTAACAAATTATCAATTTCAGTGTAAGTACATGTTAATCAAGGCCACTTAATATAAAGTGGAGCCAAAATAAAACCTATTTTACATTACTGTATGTATTATACATAGTTTCTTCATTGAAAATTATTAAATACTGTAATGGTATTTATAAAGATTCTAATAACATTTAAAATGTCTTTCCTGTCCCAGCACCTCACAAAATAGATATTTTGCTGTGTGTTTTTATTCTGGCACATTGGCTGCTGGTTCAGGACCTGTCATTGAAAAATTAAGATGACACTAAAATAGCCAGAAGGTGGCAGCAAGTTAGTTGATAAATGATTAAATGAATTGAAAACAAAACTGTTTACTGGCTTTAATATTAGACTATGTAATAATTCAATCAGTTGATTCTTTCAAAACTACACTGTTCTGCTCTTGCTTTATTTGAAAGAAAAACTGATAAAAACAATACTGCATGTACAATTTTGCTAATATTAAATGTAGCCAATGTAAATAATGAATGACACAACATTAACTCCACACTAAATGAATGACACTTTGTAAATTGTCATTTTGAGTCCAGGCATGAACAAACTGTCTATACTAGATGTCAAATTGGACATTCTGGGCTGACTTATTTGTATATAAACTGAGAAATGAAGCATCAGCTAAATGTAATTACTCCCAAGCTGCTCTTACCATGAAATATATTTTATTGGAATGTGGAAGTTTGAACACCATTAGACAACATTTTTATAAGGAGAGTACTTTGATGGACATTTTTAAAAAGAGACCAGCAGGAATAATCTTAAATTATTTATCAAAAATTTAACTGAGAAATCATATTTAACTTTGAATATATGTATTTTTTCTGTATTTTATTCATTTATATTTATATATTTGTCTTTGTAATTTTTATTGTAATAAGAATTGGGTTTTTTTATCATGCAATATCCATTTTGCCATGAAATAGCCATAAGTTGCTGATGTGGCAATAAAAACAAATGTAGCCAATCATGCTCACATGCATCTTGTTTGAGTGAAATTATTGAACTATATCATTATTTAAAACCCATAGTGTATATGTATATATGTAGTAATAATTACTATCTACTGGATAGTATGTGTATGACCAATACTTAAACAGAAACAGTATTGCACTAAAGGAAGTTTAAAATGCTTAAAATAAATATTAAATATAAATATGTTCACAAAACGAAAATGAGCACAGTTTAAGTTGGAAAGTAGTTTAAGGTGGAAAACTGGCAAAAGGATTAAACTGTGTTGTGTGTGTGTTAATGCAGGGAGATTGAGTATTTAAAGAAGGAGACAGCACAGCGCAGAGCACAAGAGGAGACTGAGGCCAGCCACAAGGTGGAGACAAAAAACCTCCAGGAGAAGGTGCGTTTGGATTTCAGAAATTCTTCCGACTTTCACACATTGTATCACATTACTACTTTTATACTCTACAATAAGGATGAATATATATATATAAACATGCTACTGGTTTTAGAGTAAAGCATTATCTAATGTATGTGTGTAAAAAAAACAGTCAACAGACAATATAGTTCAGTAGTTAGCTAACTAATGAAACCTTAATGAAAGGTTTCATAACTAATGAAACCTTATTGTAAAGTGCGACCTCTTAATTTTGCTAGTTTTTTTTTTTTTTTCATTTTTGAGAAAGAGGTAATAGTACAGTTATTATAAGGAAATTTTAAAGTTGCAAAAGGCCAAGAAAAATTTGATCTAACTCTGACTGGATCTGAATGGATATAAGGGTGAGTAAATCATGGGCTAATTTTCCCATGCCATTTCGACCAAGAAAGTACTAAAACATTACAATTTAGAATTGTCATGCTTTAAAATTGGAAACTTATTAAAACTCTTTGGTAATTACAAAGTGCTAATCTGTGCTAAGCTAAGCTAATAGTGCTCCTGTCAGACCCTTAAACCCTTAAACACCATTTTTATTGTCAGTTAAGAAAGTCACAATGTCAGATTTAAAAAATATATATATATATTTATTTATTTTATTTATTTGTGTTATTTATAAAAAAAATCAGTTTATTTATTTTTATTATTTTTTAAAATATTTCTTTTCTTTTCTTCCTTGATAAAGTCTTGACTTGAGTAAAAAAAATGTGCTAGACTACACATATCGTCACAATCAGTCATCCAGTGATGCGTTATTTCCCATAGCAGTCCCAAGTGTTGCTATAAAAAATATCTTATCTCAATTAAAAAAAAATAAAAAATCTTATTTCAGTTTCAATAAACACTGATGCTTGCAGACAACTAGTTATTTAAGGGCATTCGTTATGACATGGATAGGATCAAACTTATGATTTATTAAGATTTTTTCCTTTGAAATCTAAGTTTATATTTTCCAGCCATGAGTTGCTTAATAAAGTCCCTCAGCTGAACTTGCCATGAGTGAGACAAAGAAAATAAAAATACATAAGCCCTAAGGAAAAACAGGATCCTCAAGACATAATCTTTAAAATAATGACACTGAAATAATGACAAATTTGCAAATTTATGACAGGTTTGAGATACAATCACAGTAAAGCATTCATTGAATCCTTATTTTTCTCAGAGCAAAACAATTCATCCACCCATTTAGTCGAGTAGTGGACGGCCACAAACAAAAATAAAATTTTTATATTTTTCTTGGAAAAAAACAAAATTAAAACGAATTTTGTTTGGTATCTTAATTTTAATCTTAATCTTTTGTTAGTCAGTTGTTTATAAACAAGAATAAGGAACAACATTTGAGGTGAAGTGTTTCAAAACAAGATTGAGTTGGTTAGTAAAATAAAATAATAATCTAACCCAAATAAAATGAAAGTGAAGTATTCACAGTTTCAGAGAAGCCTACTGTATATTAAACTACTGATGACAAATCTGAATTAGCAGGAAATGCTTTTACAATGTATTTGCAGCACTGAACATGTTCCCGAATTACCTCAGAAGAACGAACTCTGTTGAAAGGCTGAGAGAACTCAAACTCGTCGTGACAATGAAGATGTCTGCATATTTGTGCCAGTCTGTCAGATACAGTTGCTTAAAACACCTTAAAATTTTAGAGAAAGTAGTTAAAGTTTGCATGACCAATGATTGATCTTATGCACCCGAGACCCACCCATAAGTAAATATGCAGCCTACTTTTTAATTACCTGACCAGAGCAGTAACGACAGCACCCACGGATATAACTGAGAAATGATGTTCTCCTATTGCCCAGTGTCAAATGCTGACGTGACGGAACTCTTTGGGAAGAACGAGAGAGAAAATTAAACATGCCAGACTTTCTGCGATGGTGTTGTGAGGAGTGGCAGGCATGGTATCGGTTGTCAAGAACTATGCCGCATTACTGGAGAAGAAACATTTGTCGTTTACGAATTTCTGCGACACTCTACGTCAAGGAAATTGTGCCAAAATCGTGGCAAAATTGTGTGATCTGACCGGAGCTTTAGATTAACAGAATGGATTAAAAACTGGTAAAACTGAACTGTTTAATGTTACTTTAGTTGTAAGTGCTTGAACTCCTGTCTGTTTCCATCTCAGATTACTGACTTGGAGTCAAAGGTTGGCGCTCTGAAGAGTCTGGAGCCTTCGTAAGCCTTCCGCTGTGCGAAATAATGGAGATCTGACGACAGAAACGCCTTGAACTTCACCCCACTCTTCCCTCCAGCCACATTCCCCCTCCATGACCTGAAGAACTCCAGGACACACGAGGGGATGTTCCCGGGGACAGAGACGGGACAAAACAAACACTGTACCAGACGCCCGAGGGACGTCTAGCCATCAGGAGGCCCTTTTTTATAGTCATTTAGTCATTTTCTCCTTGTTTCTTTATAAGCGCCCTTACAGGTATTCTAAACCTCTCTGCAGGAATGTACAAACCTCTTCATTCATTACACGCTTGCAGGAGAAGAAAGAACAGATGAAATGGAGAGGCAGTGACTGACAAGAGGACTGTTTGTATATATTCTGGCATATATTTAAATATTAAAACTGCTTAAGCAATGTGCTGGGGTGGGGGGGTGAAGGGGTAAGGGCTTTACTTTTCACATCCAGGCAAATAATACAGTGAAAATGGTCCATTTTGTGCATGGCGAAGGAGAGGGGATTTTTTCTTAGCTTAAGGACGGCATTGGAAAACAGGGTGGGGAACGTGTAATCTTGACGTTTAGAGTTAGCAATCAGGGGTTTCTCATGTTTGCGTTCTGTGTAGGGTAATGGAAATGTAGGATGATGGGGCTTATGGGTAAAGAAACATCACCAGTTCAGTGCTTGTGGTTAGTCGATGCTCGTGTGCCTAGGTCAACCCTGTTACTCTGTAAGGTGACAGAGTAAGACTTGTGAATCAATCAGAAATATGGCCTTGTTTTATTGCTTCCCAAACCCTTTCGCCAGCCCTCTCTGTTTAAGCAGTGTGTTTACTCCAATGCATCGCTCTCCGGGGACCACGCTAAGTGCACTTGGACTGCGCTACAGAGAGTCCTGGAGAATGCTAACGTTTTATGGCTTTCTTTGTCCTCAGTCCTGCTGGACGTGGATTGATTCAGTATTATCAGTCGTATACAAGGATGTGGAATCTCCTTCTAGTTGTGTTGTGGTGATGGAAAGCAACATGGTCTCAAGGGAAAGTCTAACTGTTTTACATTTTGGCAAATTTATGGCAATTTAATTTATATGAATTTGTACATTCGTCATGTTTCAATATGAACTTCTAGTTTTTAAGTTAGTATGAAATTGCCATCTTTAAGATAGTTAGGCTTTCTTGTGAAATCGGGTTGTTTTTGTGTTTGTTTGTTTGTTTTTTTTGTCTTAAATGTTTTTACATTTTTAAAAAATCGTATTCCTGGGAAAACTGGAGTCTTAACAGCAAGTGAATGAGTTTAAGGCTTTAATTATTATCCGTTTTGTCAAATCAAATCCACAGAAATAAGAATTTTTGAAGTAAAAATGTCATGAAAACGTTTTTGCTTGAAGTATTTAAGGGTCTTGTTCCACAGAACATGTTCCCATGTCAGAAAAGTATTGTTTTCAACCATTGCCTTTGGCTTATTTAGGTGCTTTGTCTCTCATTTCAAATGGAAAAATCGTGTGAACAGCACTTGAAAAATCGTTTTTCAAATTTACTTTCTTCGACGTCCCGTAAATTAACCAAAAAGAGAATTATTTGTTTTTTTTAAATGCTGGAAAACTCCCATTCACAGCGCAGTATTGAAAATTCTTCCATATTTCTTCTGAAAGTATTTACTTTTTCAGGTTTTACAATCTTTAATCATCATTTCTTTAATTTTTTGTATTAATTTACATTGGTTGATAATGTAAAGCAGCAAAGTGATGCAGCGGTCACACTTTGAGCTTGTGAAATTCTGCTCTACAGTGAGCAATTGCTCCATATTTAAAATATCTGTCCAGAAAGGTCATGTTCTGATTTTTGATTAGTCTCATGCACTCACGCGATGTGGTTTCACAGGTCAGAGTTTACCAAGCTTGAACTTTGCAATGCAGCAAACTGCAAAACTTGTCGTACGAGCTTGCGTTTCCAGGTCTGCTGCATTCGCTTGCGTATGAAGTCTATGAGTTGAAAAGTCACCACGGCTTAACAGCAGCAGTTTTGTGGAATGATATGTTCAAGCAACACACTCTAGGAGTCCTAAAATCATAATTTGTGGCATAATTTATACGTCAGTCATCTTAAGCTGCAATTAGACGGCATTTATCTGACTTTCGCAGTCACAGTTAACTAAAATCATTTTTCTGTCAGATGAGAAACTTTATTTTTTGGCTCCAATAATTATGGGACTATTATCTCAATTTTAGTAATTTCTTGGCTGTTTAACCCTGATAGCACATCAGTGTTCTCTAGCAACCAAGTACAACTTGACTGAAAGGATACCGCAATTATATATTTATGTATATAGTTCTTAAAAACAAACCCATTTTTGAGGGATTTTTGGTTTTTATTTGCACAATGTGAGAGAAACCTTGTGTTGCGTCTAAACGGCATAACATCGACGTTAACAATGCTAATCGATTTGGTGTTGAAAACATTGACATTTTTTGACATCCACACATTGATGCCCTTTTGACCACCAAAATATCAACACACAACGTGTTGCATAAGAAATGTTTCTTATCTGAAAGAGTCAATTTCAAATTTACAATTGATTTTGTATTCTTACAATGCATATAAACTACCTTGATGTCAAAATGGCGTCTAATATTGGCGTCAAAGACAGGACAGTCCTGTAAAGTATTTTTGATGTGTTTTTGATGCTTTTGATGCTGAATGTGTGTGAGATGTCAATTTGATGTCAAAACAACATCTAACAATAGTCAAAAACGCAACAAAAATCTCATTTTAGAAGTCAATTCGATGTTGTTTTTACATCAATTCATGTAAGCTACATAAAATTGACGTATCCCTACAATAAACGTAAACTATATTGATGTCAAAACAGCATCTAATTGACATCTAAAATTAGCGTCAAATCAGGACAGTCTTGTAAATGATTTTTGATGTATTTTTGATGCTAGTATCAGATGTCAAAACGACATTTAACACTAGCGTCAAAAAACAGATAAAAAATCTAATTTCAGACATCAACTAGATGATGTTTTTACATCAATGCATGTAAACTATGTCGAATTGACATCTAAAATTTGCGTCAAACCAGGACAGTCCTGTAAATGTTTTTTTTGATGTTTTTGACGCTAGTGGTAGATGTCAATTTGATGTTGTTTTGACATTAAACTGATTAACATGTTTTTGATGTTGTTGATATTGCACTAGTATAGAAGGACATTCGGAAAGATATGCGAACAAAATGGTCGTATTTACATCAAACTAACATCTAAAATTAGCGTCAAATCAGGAGAGTCTAGTAAATAGTTTTTGATGCATTTTAGACTCTAGTGTTTGATGTCAATTTGATATCAAAATAGTTAATTGACATTGAATCGATAAGCATATTTTAAAAATGTTTTTGATGTCATTGATGCTAGTCAAACATGAATTTGATGTCAAAACGACATCTAACACTAGCATCAAAAACACATCAAAATCTAAATTTAGACGTCAATTTTATGTTGTTTTGGCATCAATGCATGTAAGCAACATCAAATTGGCGCCAATTGAATTGACTAGCATGTTTTTGAAGTGTTTTTGATGTCGCTAATATTGTATGAATGATATACGAACAAAATTGTCACATTTACTATTTATTTTGTATCCCTACAATGCATGTAAACTACAATAATGTCAAAACAACAGCAAATTGACGTCTAAAATTAGCGTCAAATCAGCAGTCTTGTAAATGATTTTTGATGCATTTCTGACTCTAGTGTTTGTCAATTTGGTGTCGTTTTGATGTCAATGTAGTTAATTGACATTAAACCAATTAGCATATTTTTAAAATGTTTTTCATGTTATTGACTGGTATAGAAGACTGGACTGGTATATTCGGAAAGATATACGAACAAAATGACCATATTTACAATGGATTTTGTATCCCTACAATGCATATGAACTACATTGATGATGAAACAACATCAAATTGACGTCTAATGTTGGCGTCAAAAACAGGACAGTACTGTAAATGATTTTTGATGTGTTTTTGATGCTAGTTTCAATTTGATGTCATTTTGACATAAAGGTAATTAATCGACATTAAACCGATTAGCAAATTTTTGAAAGAGTTTTTGATGTCGTTGACTGCGTAGAAGGACATTCGCAAAGATATCCGAACAAAATGGCCATAACTGCAGTGCATTTGAGCCTCTGTTTGCTGAAATATATATATTTGTAAAGAGCTGACTAATACACAACCACCAAGTATGGATGTCCAGGCACAAGAGAAAACTGAAGTGGATTTGTCATGAGTCGCTGTAGAGAGCAAAGAAATGAGTTATGGTGGAAACGGACACTTTGAATCTTAGCTATAAACGCTTTTAAATTTCACACTTTAGCTTAGCTTAGCTTAGCTGCTGCCTTTAATGAAATGAATTTGCTTCCATGTACAGGAAAGAGCTTTGTGTTTCTCTCCTCGCTTGTTGGTGTAATAGTCAATTCCTCTTTATTTTTGGTGTCTAATGTTGCCGTTAAGCGAGCTGTTTAACAGAAATGCATTGAGGGGAAAAAAAGCCTACAGTATGCGAAGACTTGAAGTTTGATTGTAATTGCCATAGTTTTACATTAGCGCATTTGTCTGACACCTAACATAAAGCAGGAATGCCATTGATTTTATAGTTGTTTTACAAACTCTTCGCCATTTCCTCTGTATTATTTTAGTCCCCTATTTTTTAACCCCTGCCATGTAAATTGCTACCACATGATCCAGAGGAAGATGTTCTCCATTTTCAAATAAGCGTCATGTTCAATAATTGCATAAGTACTGTCATAATAAATGCAGAAATGTGCTGAGCAAATGCTTGAAACGGTCTGTTTTTGAAGCATGGGTCTTTGCATTATTATTTTGTGTATGATATTTTGTGTCATGGTTGAGATTTATTATATCTTTGACATCATGGCACTAGGAAATATTGCAAAAATAATGTCTGATCCCTACATACATACATACAACAGAAGACGAGTGGTATTATTTTGCTGTCTATCACAGAAGTCACGATTTTGTCAGCAGCACAGCACAGTTTCCTCTGTGGAGATGCTATGTTTGGCATGCTATTATTTCTGTCGTTCAGTTTGCTGCTGTGATTGGCACACAAATTGCACCCTTTCATATTTTTCCCTTTTTTTTAATGGATCCAAACAATCCCACTTATTAGGAAAATGTGATATTTTTTGTTATTTTTCAAGTGTGATAATTGTTTGAGCTTATCCATTTTTAGTGAATGGTTTGTCTGGTAATTATACTGATTTTTTTTTTCTGAGCAGTTAAAGGTGCAGTAAGTGATTTCTGAGGGTTATTTCAAACTTGGTTTGGTTTGCCTAGTTCAGGGGTGTTCAAACTCGTGGAGGGCCGGTGTCCTCCATAGTTTAGTTCTAACTTCCTTCAGCACACCTTTCTGGACGTTTCTAGTATACCTAGAAAGAGCTTGATTAGCTGCTTCAGGTGTGTTTAATTGGGGTTGGAGCTAAAATATGCAGGACACCGGCCCTCCAGGAGCGAGTTTGGACAACCCTGGCCTAGTTGAATATATATAGATAATGGAGAAGACAATTAAATAACCCCAACAGTTCATTACACTCTTTTACATTTTTAAACAATTCTTTAACTTTTCTGAGAAGCTGACTGTATGTTCTGGAGCAATACAAATGATTATTTAATGGCTGATAAAAAGTTCAATATTTGCTTAAGATGAATTTAAGATAAAAGGCCTAAATAAATAATGTGCACTTTTTTTGTGCATTATTTAGGTACTGATGTTAAATTTTGTGTAAATAGCAGATCTAGTGTATATGCAACAGAAACTGTAGGGTTCCACACAATTGTTTTAAGTTAACTTATTAGTTTATTTATTTATTTTTTTCAAATTTCAGTGGACTTAATAAATCAAGTTCACCCAAAAAAATAAATAAATAAAAAATCAGCAATTGTATTGTTTCAGCTGATTTTATCTGTCATTTTTAGAATCTGCATTTGCACAATATTATTTTATTTGTATAAAAGGTTTTGTTCCAATTAATCAATTTTGACAATTCAAGTTTTATACATGTCAGTAGGTGATTTCATTCATTTTTAAGCAAATCAATTTTTGCGCAAGTGAGAGAAAATGAACATCAACACAAAAACACATCTCTCTGTCTTACAGATGTGACACCTATAAATCACACATAATCTTAAAAGTTGTGCACAACTGATTGGTGTCACACCCATTAATAAATATCATTAGCATGTAAAAAAAGCATGCTTAAAAACTGGTTTAAGGAGGAAATTGGAGGTACAGGATGCCTTTTTAGCCATCTTGGTGCAAGTTACAGAATCAAACCAAATCTTTATTTCCCCCCTTAATGTATTATTATTTTTTTATAAAATATAATTGGTGTACACTGTAAAAAATGCTGGCTTCCATACAGTTCCTTAATGTTGTCCCAACACAAATCCATGAAGTTAACAGTTTTTTTTTTTTTTTTTACTAAAATTTAAGTGGATTTAACAAAAAATAAATAAAATTTGAGTTGTCCCCCCCAAAATAAGCTCAAGAAATGTGTTGATTCAGCTCATAATGTTGATGTCATTATAAATCAGTGGTTTTAATAATAATAACTATTAATATTAAATTATTATCCTGTGCATTGGTGGAGTTGCTCTAAAACTATAAAAACTGGACTGAAGCCATTTTGATTAACTAAAACGTCATCATGTTATGCTGCGTTGACATCATGCTATAACATTTGAAATAAATTAGTATATTATTAAGGTCACAATTATTTTGATGGTCTGTTTGCTGAATTTAAGTTACATTGCATCTACATGTCAACTAATTCTCATTACATTATAAGTAGACTGTTGGGTTGGGGTTGGCGTTAGTGTAAGCTGTACTTGCAAAGTTTCTTATAGTCAGTTAAATGTCTGTTGAAGGAGTCAGTATCAAGCAGACAGTCTACTAATACTCTAATGGACCATCAAAATAAAGTGTTACCAATATTATTAGTACTTTTTCATATTTATTATTATCACCATGGTTATTTCCAAAATACTTGCAGCACGAGCTGAGACCAAATTGACACTTTATTATTGAGGAACTTTCATGTAAATTCCTGTACTCTTAGTATCATATTTGCTCTCGGTTTAAGCATTCTAAATTCAACCCATGTACACAAAGACACATGTCGAGTGCTCATCACAAGAGGCTTTATTTTAGATGCATCTTTGACTCACGTCAAGAAAAGTGGGCGGAGCGGCAGCATCACACGCCCCGCCCTCCGTGCCTTTCATTGGACACGTCTGAGTTTCAGAGAATCGCACTGTAAACACGGACTTCTGTACAAAACCAAAAACAACAAGAGAATACCCGCTTCAAAAAAGATCAACTAAAAAACCAATGAGAACCTTTGACCAAATAAAAACAGCAAAAAAATCCAACTTAACCACCGACATGCTGTACAAATCCATCCATCGCAGACAGACAACGCAAAAGAAACGTATGCGACCAAAACAGAGGATATGTACAAGTCATCTGTAATGGATAAGAAATAATAATAATAATAATAATAATAATAATATCAAACCGAAACAACGAAACCAGCGAATATGCTATACAATTCTTTCATCGCAAACCGCAGACTCTGTCCGGGCTCGTCGCCTTTTAAACTGTACACATACTTTTTTGTTTGTCTCAGATTTACAAAACAAATATTCTTCTTGAGAGTCCATCTCATAGCTCTTACATAAAATAGAGTCATATTCATATTTATTTTTGCTATTTACATGTGGTATGTACAGCGCAGCCTTACAGGCTGTCCCGTGTGTGACCTCAGGAGGAGATCCTGAGAGAGTCCAATCCAAGACCAGCATCTTGTACAGAGATCACTTTCAGCTTTTAGGAGAAATCAACACGTACACTTCAGAGTGTTCATTTTAGCATTCAACACAAGAGCAAACTAAAATGTTGAACTCATTTGGGTGCTTCTGTCTGAACATCAGATAAAATACTGCATTTGGTCATGTTTTTTTGGTCACTTTATTTTGATGGTCCGTTTGTTGCATTGCATCTACATGCCAACTAATTCTCTTTAGATTTGAAGTAGAGTTTGGGGTTGGGGTTAGTGTAAGTTGTACTTGCAAAGTTTCTTATAGTCAGTTAAATGTCTGTTGAAGGAGCAGTATCAGCACATTATGCAGACAGTCTAGTAATACTCAAATGGACCATCAAAATAGTGTTACATGTTTTTTTTTTTGGTTTGTTGCTAACCTTTAGAGAAGCAGAGGACGGTAAATGTCTTCTACACTGCAAAATATAGGTGAGAGTGGGGACGAATGTATCATTATTTGTAAAAACATATTTTTAGAGAGATGTTTTTAGACAGAACTATATTTTTGCTGTAGATACTAACTCATTATTGTGCTCTATCAATATCGGGGAGAGGGTGCTCGCTGCAGAGCCATTTGAGCAGAGCTTAGCTCCAGCGAGGGGGAGCATGAGCTCTCGTTCTGCCTCCTGTAAGCTGTTTTAATGCGTACACCAACCCCACCCCTAACCCTACCCCCAGTAACATCACTCGTAGAAGAAGTGCAAAAAAGGTGGAGCTCAAGCTCAAGTTCCCCCTCGCTGGAGCTCAGCTCGCCCAGACGGCTCTGCAGCGAGCACCACTTGATATCGGGGGGTATTTTGAACAACTGTAGAACAACAAAATAATATCACTTCAAATAGAAAATAAATAAATTGTTACTTTTGAGCCTGTCAGTACACTGTAAAAATCGATGTTTAATTGGAAAAGTCTGTCAATTGAATTTGCGAATGTAAAATGTTAAAAACAGTAGATTACTGTCAATCATAGCTGCCGGTATTTTTTTTGTAAAATCAAGAAGAAAAAAACAGCAAAATACTGTAAAAGCTTTGTGTCATTGATATTAGCGTCTGTGTTCAAGATGATCTGAGAGTATCTGATGTTTTCTGTAGCTTCATTTATTAAAACGTAACTGTGTACTGTAGTTACTAATGCAGTGAAAAGCTGATTGTTAATTTCAGTCACACATGAACACACTAATGCCTTTAATCAATAGGAATAAATGAAAAGGCAAGAATTCAGCACTGTATTTTCAACTGTTTAAGTTTTTGTGCTTAAAATATTTGAGGCAACGAGTTACATCAATAATTTTGAGTTCTGCTTACTAATTTGGGTTTATAGTGTACAGTGTACAATATTTAGACAATTCAAATGTTTTAGAAGTGTAGGTTTTGGTTTTTGTGTTTACTTAAATGTTTTAGTTCAGCTTAATCATTTAAGGCAATCGGTTTCCTAATGTTTTTCTTGTAATGTGAACACTTATAAGAAGTGAACACAACTATTTTGAGTCAACAGTACTGACGTTTAATTCATTAAGAAGTTGTAAATACAGACTGTTTTAAGTTATGCTCACTTAAAATCAATACACTACTTATAAATGTTCCTAAGGTCAGTCAACTTATTACATTTTAGTATAGGGACAACAAGTAACACAACAATATTTGCTTGATTTAGCTTTAATTTTGTTTATTTGAAATATGTCTGACTGTGTCCTTGTTAATGTTCTCTGCAAACATATTTTGTTCTTTATTTTTGCCAAAATTATTAAATATGTATTTTCATTTTATATTACACTTCCACATTTTTATGATTTTAAAACAATTTTTGAGTTTAAAACAATGATTAATATGCATAAAATATATTAATCAAAATACTAAAAACTCTAGTTTGGAAGTGAAATATAAAGTACAGTTGAAGTCAGAATTATTCGCCCCCTGTTTATAGGGTAATTAGGCAAGTTATTGTATAACGATGGTTTGTTCTGTAGACTATCAAACAAATATAGCTTAAAGGGGCTGTTAATTTTGTCCTTAAAATTGTGTTTAAAAAATAAAAATGGCTTTTTTTTCTAGCCAAAATAAAACAAAAAAGACTTTCTCCAGAAGAAAAAGTATTATCAGACATACTGTGAAAATTTCTTTGTTCTGTTAAACATCATTTGGGAAATGAAAAATCAAGTCAAATGAAAAATCTAAGGATAATAATTCTGACTTCAGCTGTATGTCTATCAGCAGTTACAGTGTTACTTTTGTCCCCACATGAACTCTTGCCATCTAAACCTGATTTACTTTTGAACTGAAAAACTCAGAGATTGAAAACTTGAGGGTGTTATTGCACTAAATAACCTGTAGACTGATCATTACTTTGACATTAAAAGAGAAGCACAGCTTGTAATAAGGAGAAAAAAAACTGCTTCCATAATTTTTGCACAGAAAAACTGAATTTTAGGTGTAACCGCAGGACAGTTCTCAAAACAGCTGATATTTGGCAGCTCCATTAAGGGTTGCATGCTGAATTTGCTGTTATAGCCTTGAAAGCAAATGTTATCAGGGCTTGGAGAAAAACGTTTTGTTACATTCGTTGCACGTTCCTTTCGTCCCCACTCTCACCTAAGAGTATTTTTTTCAACATATTTTTTTTAAAACATCCACAGAAACAAATGAATATACAGTAAATATGCTTCATTTTGTTTTTACTCCAGTATGACAAATAATTAGGAATACTGAGGCCTGTTTTGGGGAATACAAGTACTTGACAGGACTCCAGTACAAATATCTAACATCCTTAAAAAGATAGAAATCAAATTGATTATTATTAGTATTCCTAATTGAAATTTTGAGTTTTTTACAAATTGTCTATATAAATGCATCATTTTTGCTTGTAGTCTTGCAGACATTACATAACGTTCAAATATTCATATAAGGAATGTTTAATCTTACAGGATAACATTATATATGTTTGTGTATATTTTCCCCCTCCCAGTGATTGGAAATATCAAAATATTAAAGTATGTATCTTTTTTGTACAAATATCTATCGTCCATGAACTAAAAAGATAGATTCATTAATACATTCTGATTATAATTTCAGTCTTCATATCTATATCATTTTTGGCTCCACTTTTTAAACAGTTTCTTTGCTTTAAGTATGTTTTATCAAATATATTTTCACATGCAGTGCTCAGCATATATGAGTACATATATGAGTAACCCTAACCCTAACACCTCTGACAAATCGATCTTTTACATTCATATTTTGAATAGGAAGCTATACAATATAATATGTATGCATATACATTAGATTAGTCAGTGATGAAGCCAAATCTGGAGCTTATCTAACAAAATCACTTATGATATCGGTCCAAAAACTAGTACAGCCAAATTTATGTTATAGAAAAATATTAAATACAAATTTAAACAAGAGGAAAAATCTAGAAAAGCGACGAAAAAAACATAAAAATTTAGTTGAAATTTTGTAGGTTGTAATTTGTTTTTGCAATATTTTGCTCAAATTTAATTGAATTTTCTTCCAATTTTTAAATGTTTGGTGACTAAAATATGATTTGATTAAATATATCTGTTTAATAAATCAGATTTTTTTAAAATGCACTAAACAAACATTTCCTACATTCACTGAGAAATGGAGAAAAATATTCATTTACAAAATGGGCTGTACTCAATTATGCTGAGCACTGTATACCTGCTGTTTGGTTTTCATGATGAACACTGACATGAAGTGGTTTACGCAGTAGCTACATTCACCGATGTCCTCTGTCTTCAGGATAGTGGAGCTGGTCTTGGATTGGGACTCTATTGATGGCTGGGGATCCATATTGTTCAGAACACAAACATTGAATGACTGCAGGCCAGTTTGCACATGGGGTGCAGTAAGTGCCAGTGTTGGCAAGGGACGAGGGAAGACCACAGGTCAGATTGTCACATGTATTTAAGGGTCATGAATGAGTAAAATAAAATAAAATTGAAAAAGTGCAGTGTTTCTGAAGGCCCGGACGACAATACGAATAAGCTTATTCCGGTTTGGTTCAGTTCGACTGATGGCAGTGCAATCAGGAGAGGTTTCCCTTCAGCAGAAAAATAGTCTGAAAAACGAATCCAGATATGGCGAATAATGAATGCTCATAATCAACACTGACACAGAATCTCACTCAAAGCACAATTCATGGACACTATTCGTCGATCGGTGATGCGGAGGCGGAGCCTGAGATGATTGACAGCCCAGCTGGCTTGATCCGTGACGGTGGAGAATGAAGTGTCTGTGTCTGGAGGTTTTCTAGATATGGCTTGTAGGTCCCTTCACATGTCTTTTGGCTCCAGTTTGCTGGACATCTCAAAAAGCAGGTTCTGATTGTCGATGACCTGCAGCTGCCGGACGTACGCTTTCGTCTGGAGGTGCGAAGGGGACGGCTCGGCCTCCATAGCTGTTGGACAGGAAGAAAAACACACATCAGATAAAGGAGCTGCTTGAAAAACATCCAAACATTCAAATGCAAGTCAGTGTATTTCATTGTTTTTTGTATTATACAGTGCTCAGCATAACTGAGTACAGCCCATTTTGAAAATGAGTATTTTTCTCCATTTCTCAGTTAATATGGGCAATGTATTTTGGTGCATTTAAACAACTGATTAAAAAACTGATTTATTAAATAGATATATTTATTCAAATCATATTTTAGTCTCCAAACATATTTAGAAATTAAAAGATAATACAATTAATTTCAGGCTAAATATTGCAAAAATAAATTACAACCTTCAAAATTTCAATGTAATTTTACATGTTATTATTATAATTTTTTTGCGTTTCTTGATTTTTCCTTTTTTTTATTTGTATTTAAGATTTTTCTACAACATATAAATTTGGCTGTACAAGTTTTTGGACCGTTATTTTGTTAAATAAGCTCCAGATTTGGCTTCAGTACTGACTAATCTAAAGTATATTCATAAATATAACATTGTACAGTTTCCTATTTAAAATATGAGTTTAAAAAGAGAGATTTGTGAGGGGTGTGCTTATATATGCTGAGCATTGTATAAACGCACACCTATGTCTTGATTTTATACACATTTGTTTATTTTATGTTGAGCTGTATTTTCAGAAAGTTTTATGATTTCTTTTTAAATTAATCATTAATCAAATTTATTGCAAAATTAGCACACAGCTAAAACCACTACTCATTGATTAAAAGGTGATTAAAGGAGTCTCATAAACAAAGAACAAAGATAAAGAACATAAAAGATAGTGTTGAAATGAAAGAATTATAGCATCCTCCACAAAGGTAGGTGTGTGTGTGTGTGTGTGTGTGTGTGTGAGTGTGAGAGATTCAGTGTCAGATCACATGGTGGCGTGTTTGAGCTGAGAGACTCACATTCATGTGATCTCAAACATTCATGTCCAGCTGACCACACACACACTGCTAAACCACACTTCTCCAAAAGAAAGGGAGTTGAAAGAAAGAAAAACTGAGAGAAAATGGAGAGAGAGAGTGCGCCAGGCTCTTTCAGGCTCTATGAATAGCTGCACATTGTCCTGCCTGATCTTCAGAAAGAACTGTCACTCCGCCTCTGCATCAGCTTCAGCTGTCAATCATGTTCTGGCAGGACTAAAACTGCAGGTTCACAACACCAACAGCTCGTCATCTGCAAACCTGCACCGCTAAACTCACTCACAGAATTAACTGCACCAAACAACTGAGCACAAACATTATGCATCATTAGACTCCAGTACAAATATCTATCATCCTTAAAAAGGTAGAAATCAAATAAGAGTAAGGATCATGCAATGCTAAAAAAAAATGCCTTTTTTTCTCAATTAAGTTTTGTAGAAGTTAATTTAATATATAGTATTATGTAAACTGGTGGCACAGTGGGTAGCATGATTGCCTCATAGCCAGAAGGTCGCTGGTTTGAGCTCTGGCTCGGTCAGTTGGTATTTCTGTGTGGAGTTTGCATGTTCTCCGTGTTCACGTGGGTTTCCTCCGAGTGCTCCGTCTTCCGTTTTTTTCTGTAGGTGGATAAGCTAAATTTTCTGTAGTGTATGTGTGTGAATGAGAGTGTATGGGTGTTTTCCAGTGTTGGGTTGCGGCTGGAAGGGCATCCGATGTGTAAAATATATGCTAGATAAGTTGGTGGTTCATCCCACTGTGGCAACCCCGGATTAATAAAGTGACTAAACCGAAAAGAAAATGAATGAATGATGTAAACTATGTATTAACTATTATTTAAATTGGTTGACTTTAGTAGCACCTGACAAATGATTCCCAGCAGAACATTGCAAAAACAATCAATATTCTAAACATACAGTTAAAGTTAACATTATTAGCCCTCCTGTGGATTTTTTTCCTTTCTTTTTCAAATATTTAATTTCATATTTTACTTTTTTAAATGTATATTTAACAGGGTGAGGATATTTTTTATTTATTTCATTATTTTATTTTAATATATAATATATTATATATATAATATATGATATATTATATCTCTCTTCTGGAGAATGTCTTATTTGTTTAAGGTAAATATTATTAGCTCAGTTACAGAAGCCTCTACAGAAGGATTTGCCTAATTACCGTAACTTGTTTAATTAACCTAGTGAAGCTTTAAAATGTTTAAGTTTAAGTTGAATACTAATATCTTAAAAAAATATCTAGTCAAATATTATGTACTGTCATCACAGCAACGATGAAAAAATGAGTTATTAAAACTAGTATGATTAGAAATGTATTGTCTTTCCTTTAAGCAGATATTTGGGGGGGAAAATATACAAGGGGCTAAAAATTCTGACTTCAACTATGCAGGCATATTATAACAGTTGGGTTCCAGATCAGCAAAGATGCTAAAAATGAATCTTTGCCATCACAGGATAATTATTTCAAATTATATTTCAACATAAATTAGTTATTTTAATATTTTATTAAAATTATTGTTTTATTAATTAATTCATTTTCTTTTCGGCTTAGTCCATTTATTAATCTGGTGTCGCCACAGCGGAATGAACCAACTTATCCATGTCCATTTGTTTTACACAGCCCTTCCAACTGCAACCCATCACTGGGAAACATTCACTGACTCTTATTCACACACATATACTACAGACAATTTAGCCTACCCAATTCAAAATGTCTTTGGACTGTAGGGGAAACCGGAGCACCCGGAGGAAACCCACACTAACACAGGGAGAACACGCAAACTCCACATAAAAACGTCAACAGACCCAGCCAAGACTCAAACCAGCGACCTTCTTGCTGTGAGACGATCATTCTACCCACTGCGCCACCATGATGCTGTTTTATTACTGTAAAATTAATATTATATTACTGTTTCCCTACTTTTTTGATTAAACAAATACAGGCCTGCGAGCATAAACAGCTAAAGAAATATTACAAAATGATTGACTAAGAAAAATAACTTTCACAATAGCCAAGTAAACTCTTTCATAGCTCGGGAGAATTAATGGAGTAACGTTCATTTATGCAACATCTGCACAGATATTTCCTAAAAGACCAAACAGAAGATGCGGACGGCAGAGCCCAGATCATCTGCTCTTCATATTGAATTTGAAAGTGAAATGAGAATCTTCCTCTCCTTAATGTCTTGTGTGAAGTGATTTTTCTCGCCTATCGTCACAGATCATCAGCGTCTTTCCTTTGACTCTCTGACAGCAGGAGCGCATTAGAGACAATTACAGACTCATTACATCTCACATCCCAGCGACTCCCCGAAGTTCACACAGACGCTCGCAGGGAAATGGAGTTGTGCTTGGTCTTACAAATGTCAATGGCTGCAATTTGTCCATTGAAATGCATGGCCTCTGGCCTCGCCACGTCACCAGATGAGCCTCTGCCACCCATGGAAATGTCATCGCAAATGGAGTTCGCTTATGTAGACGACGGCGTCTGATAAACACAAATATTAGCTTACAAGATGCATCCATGAATTTGGTGCATCTGAATGAATTTCTTTAGGTTCCTCAAAAACAAAACAAGCCTCTTCTAGGCATCAGAGTGAAAAGTAGCATACGCTCTGCTGAGCATCAATCCCTCTAATGGAAATGGATGAGGGTGATTCAGTCAGGTAGATGGAGAGAGAATGAGCTCTGATAATTACAGCCTTCATTCACAAGCAGAGGAGAAAATAAGTGTCCTGACGCACAAGACCTGCTGCTGCTCTTCAACTCACTGACAGGCGAGAACAAAGCGCTGATAAAAGAATCATACTAACATAATAGCTGAAAGGGGTTATTTTCTTAGGGAGTTGTAAAAAAAAAAAAATCCTGGGATACTGCGCACAGCTCATCTCATATACTAAACCTTAACAAAGCATATCTAAAGCATAGGTTTATAAATACACTTTTACTGTGTATTTATTTTAGTTTGGCTAGAATAAAGGCATTATTATATTATATTTATATTATATAGAATATATTTCATTATTATTATTAGCCCATTGAGATTTTTTCCCAGTTGTCTACAGAACAAAACACTGTTGTTCAATGAGTTGCCTATTTAAACTAATGGGCTATATGCACAGCTAGTGTTTTTCAGTCAATGATGAACTTCCGGTGAAAGCTTTATATGACCATTTTACATTTCATAAGGTTCCTTTTACAGCATCAAAGTTTTAACGTAATTAAAAAAACATTCTGTTAAATAGACTTAAGCATCCATTTGGTTGTTAAAGCATAAAAAGAAATGAAAGACCGTTTAAACGCAGGCACCACCATTAGCAGCGCACTCTCAAAAATAAAGGCACGTGAGCTGTCACTGAGGTGGTACCTTTTCGAAAGGTACAAATTTGTACCTAAAAGGTCCATATTAATACCTCAAGGGTACATATTAGTAACTAAATGTACAAAAAGGTTCCTCTTAAAATTTTAGGTACTAATATATACTTTTGATGGTACCAATATGGACCCTGTCAAATGTGACAGCTCGCGTACCTTTATTTCTGAGATTGCAGGCTAGCGCAGAAATTCCATTGAAAAAAAAACGGTAAATTTAATTTCACGAATTTAAAGATGTGGGGTGGAAAATTTTAGTTTAATGCAGTGCTTCTTGTTTGGTCTGATACACACTTTATATCGTATCTCAGCCAGGTAGTGAAGATCGCTGTTTTTTAAAGAAATCAGATCTAAAAGCGTTGATTTTTGTATGGGATGACTATTAAACGGAAGCCCTGGGCCTGGCTGACTGAAATGAAAAGTCTGTGTGCCCCAATTAGGACTTTAAACAGCACTTTACGATAATTGATAAATGATGATTGATGATTGATAGATCTTGCAAAATAACCATAAAAATATAATGTACTATAATTATGGCAAAGACATAAATAAATTTTGATATTAAAAATTGTTTACATTTATTTTTTAAATCTCTCTATTAAGCAGCACTTTATTTTTCTTAAATATGTGTAATGTGTTTCTAAATTTCTCTGAGGCATATTTTGTTAGTGATGCTTAAAACAGAATTTGCTGTAGGGCTGGGCCAATAAATGATATCATATCGAATTTCGCTAAAAATGTTTTCAACAACAATGATAAACTCTGAATATTTTTACTCAACATTGATCTAAGAGCACAGCAGCAATATGCAACAACTAGGGCTGTGACGGTGACTGATTTTTTTGTTACCGCTGTGATGAAGCAAGAAATCAATCAAGTATCCCCCAAGACAACACTGAAAGTTTTACAGTTTGTTTAGACTTGCTGGAAGTTGTAGTAGATATTTTTTTGTTTTGTTTATGTTTTACACATTTAATTTACCCTGTAATGCCAGACCTTAAACAGCTTTTTTAATGGCTCATAGATCACAAAAAAGGAAGTATTCTGAAAATGTTGGGTTGGGTCTTGTGTTAAAGTTGGGGTAAGAGGACAGAATATGCAGTCTATTCAATATTACGCCCATGAGAAGTCCCCACAAAACATGACAACCCATCGTGTGTGTGTGTGTGTGCTGAAGTGCTGGCCTGTGGTTTATGACCCTGGGGCTTGGCTGTCCTCAACAGATGGGCAGTGGCAGGGTGGAGCTGCAGTTCCTACAACTAATCCACTCAGACAGGTGTGTGTGTGTGTGTGTGTGTGTGTATGTGCATGCAGGTATGTTGTTATGTTGGCGGGTGGAGACATGCTCTTCTTTTGCACTAATTCTGTTTGACAGGTCTGTGTATGAACGTGTGTGTGTGTGCGTTAGGAATACACATACCTAACTGAGAGCTCCGATACCGCCTGATGCTGCGCACCATCTCCGCCACTTTGTGCTGGAAAGAAAGAAAGAAAGAATGAATGAATACAGTACACACACAGTAATTAAATAATGCTCATTCATCAAAGTCTGGAGTGGAAGCAGTGGTGGTTCTAGCTAAAATGGCACCCTGGGTGAACCACCCCATATACACCCCTCAACTCCCCTCCACCAAACTTATAAATAGTTGCATGGTTAAATCTAGTTATAAAACAGGACCAATAAACATGTACATTCTAAATTGAATGTTGGCTGTTTTAACTCAAAAACTGGTAAAACAGAACCTAAATCAGAATTGGGATAAATACAAATATTTTTATTTATTTTATATATATATATATAATTTTTTTTTTTTTTTTTTTTTTCCTTGGGTAATTCTTTAACTACGGCCACTTTTATGTCCTTTGATCATATATCAAAAAAATATATCATTTTGTTCAAATTCCTCTTTCATTGTCAAACCAACAAAACCTACTTTTAAAAAAAAATTACTACCTTTCTATTTATTTATTTTTTTCGTATTATTTAACCTCCTTTTAGGTGTCAAAATCCCTGTTTTTACCTTGTTGCACACCCAGAGTTTTAAACTTCTACAATGAAAACAACATTATTATTTGTCTGGTATCTATATTATTTATCTGTAATATTATTTATCTGGTATCTATTCACGTATCTTAATTAAGCATTAGTGAAATAATTTAAATATTTTATAGTTATTAATGTGACTATTAATTTTTTTTTTTATACAAAATGTAGCTGTCGCACAGTTTCAGAGTCATCTCCACTAAAACACTGTAATGTCGCCTTAAAAAGTGTGTGAAAGATTATTTAGGTGGTTTCTATAAAAACTGAAAAGTGCCATCTGAGAACATGTTCAAGATAGAGGGATTAAAATTATTTTTTTATCAACAACACTTGAAGAAAAAAACCAAGGTAAATATTTTAATATAATTACTATAATAATTTTTATAATTATAAATATTATAAGGAAATATATATATTCTACGTCATTTCCAAACATGTTATACCTTCAAAGCTGTTTTGGAAATACCAAACAAAATTAAGGTAAATAAGAGTGTTTTGTATACATGAAAGGTTGGTATCAATTCAAAGCTAATCAGTGAAGCTATTTTTTATTTTTTCACAATAAACTTTAGAAATATAATTTCCATCACCACACACATGTTTTTTTAATTTTTAAAAGTTCTCATTAAACATTAAAAGTGTGTTCACAATGTATACGTTCATGCTGTGTTTAATATACAAATTCAGTTTATTTTATTTCTAATCAACTCTTAACCAAATATTTATTAAATTTTAGAGTGTGATAGGTGTACAAATCAGCATACAGCTAATTTATTATACTGAAAAATGTATATATATATATATATATATATTGTGGAAAGATTGGTTAAACTAGATACAAAAATGATCTTAGACAATGTTTGACTGCCATAATTTATTAATTTTGAAATAAGCTGTATATTGAGATGTGGTGGAATTGACATTTGCTCAGTTCACAATGGAAATTTTTATTCCTCTTCATATCTAAGTTTGTTCTCTTACAGATCTTAAAACTAGACAAATTGTTTAAACTTATGAGGCTATGTTATGGTCATTGTAAACAAGTTTTTTTTACTCAACTTCACAAGGCTAAAAGTGCCCATACTTGCTATCATAACAAAAATTGGCACACTGCCAATTAATTTATTCAAATAAGCTAAATTAGTTTTTTGAGAGCAGTATTGGCAGTGTGCTGATTTTAATTTACTGACAGGGAAGTGTTTCCTGTGATTAAGTGTTCAGATGGGTGCATATTATATTTTGTACTGAAGAAAAAAGGTCACCTAGATTTTAGATGGCCTAAAACTGAGCAGTTTTGAGTGAACTATCCCTTTAAGGTTACATTTAGCTTAGTAAAACAATCAAGTCTGTCAAGCATGTCCTTATTTAGGTAACTGGGTGAAAATGCATCTGCTATTCATGTAAACACATCATTAATTCATTACATAATAATATATACCAACTCACCATCTTCTCAAAATTAACCAGCTCTCCATGGAAAGTCTTACAGCTCTCATGAAGGAAAGTCAGATCTGCAGAGAAAGAGAGAGAGGGAATAATAAAGGGAGCAGTTATGTAAGAACATGTCATCATGCCATCACTGGTTCAGCCAGGCGTCTCTTCCTGACTGTGCTCAGCTGAAGCCTGACGTTCACACGCGAGCGAGCGAGAGAAGTGAACAGTGATGATGGGGGATCTGTGTGAACCTGGACGAGTCTGGTGAAGAGAGAGAGAGGAAGGCAGGTAAGGTGAGAAGGGAGAATGCAGGAGACACTACATGCTGTCGGGATGAGTGTCTGAATACAGATGATGAAGGAGAGGGAGAGAGAGAGAGGTTGAGTGCCAGTGTATCGGCCAATAGCAGTAATGATTTGCAGATGCACAGTTCAGCATGAGCTCCGTCTGACTGCACACGTCACCATTAGGCAATTGTTCAACACTACTATGAGGTTTGCAACCAAGTGAGGTTTTGGTTATAATGTAAAGTTAGAATTTAAGGAGGTTTATACATATACATGCTTTTTATAATTCATTAAAACTAAGAAACTAAAGATATATATATATATATATATATATATATATTGCAGTTAAATATATATGTAAATTTTAAATATTTTATTTAGTTTAACTATACTGAACTGTACTAAATTACATAAACTTCACATAACTAAATGTTAAATAAAAATTGTAGATGCATAAAAACCTAAATATCATTCATTTTTAAATCATTTCTAAATCATTTCTTTTATATCATTTCTAAATTTCATACTAAACACCTATTATAAATACATATTTATAATGTACAAAAAAAATAAAACAATAATATAATCTAAACAAAATCATTATTTTACTAATGTATTTCATCATTTTATAATTATGTGAGTGGTTTTGATTGAGATTTTTCTGATAAACAGATTAATTATCACATTAATTTTCACTTTTAAGTTATTCCTCATTTATGCATCACAATTCACCTCCTAACCTGCATCTCTGAAGATTGAGGCAGTTTTAGCCAAACATTAAAAATGCAACGTGTGTCACATTTCGCTCTGCGATCACAAACAAAGCTACCAGAAGACCACTTCAGCTTTCTTTTGAAGGTCACTGTTTTACCTCCAATGCTCTGAAAAGTCCACCCAAATCATATTTAATGTATCAGTCTAAATTTATGCTGAAAATGCAGCTTCTGTCCTCAAGCATAAAGCGTCATCAGCATAATCTGATTCACTGAAGAATGTGCCAAATGCTTTCTAATAACACATGCTACATGTACAAATAATATTTGAGACCAGACCACATTTCTTGACACAAATAACAATGTCTGTCAACTTCTAACATCTTTATCCCCGCAGACGCTTGACAATTTACAGGTTCAGGACAGAGGCTGTTGCAGGTCACAGTGTTCAAATGTGTTAAACACCAGAGATTCTCGGATAAAGCCATCACCTCCTGTCCAATAATCACTAGAAGCTCCTTGAGAAGAAACGGTCTCATCTTCATTGGGGATGTTTTTAATGCTAGGTTCAAACCAAACACAAAGAGAACACACACACCGCATGCAATGCCTCAGAATCAAGATTCTTTTTGGAACTGACTCCCAGCCCTAACCAATTGCCCTGATTGTAGAGCCGGTGTTTTGCATTCTGTCTATTTCTCATGTCCCGTGTAATGTGTGCGTCAGACTGAAACACAGAGCAATGCTCAGCAAAGACTTTGATGCTGAACTGATCCTGACAGGCTTGAGTCATGAGAACCTACAGGGAAGGAGAGGAAAAAGACACAGAGGACAGATGGGACAGCGCTTTAACAGATGTGTGTAAAAATGTGCAAGAGTAAATAGTTAAGGGTGTTTGTGTGTGTGTGTGTGTGTGTGTCTTTGTAGATACAACTGTAAATTCTGAAAAGAAAAACAAAAAAAAAGCACATCTGATCTGATGTTTAGAGTAAGACATTTATACTCACAGACACATACCTATAGAATGAAGGGCAAGATGTCACTTATATTTATATATTATACTATATATATATATATATATATATATATATATATAGTAGTTTATGCGGTGACAGTAATGGTATTGTTTTCAAAAACTTAAACTTTAAAACACATTTTCAGGCTCCCAAAAGTTTTGTATGTAGGATTTTAAATGTCATTTTAGCTGAAAATGTTTTTATACACATATTTTTTCCTTAAATATATAAAGCAATGTTTTTAAAATTCATAGTTTAATAAATGTTTCATGTAATTTATTTTTTATGTTCAAGTCTGAAAATTTAACCTACCATTACAGGAATAATGTGTTTCAAAGTTTATTCGAAAGTTATTTTAAATGAAGTGATGTTAAAGGGTCACGAAACACCAAAACACATTTTTTGAGATGTTAACATTCATATATGTGTCCCATGCTGCTATAAACACTATTAGGACACATATATTTCAATTAAAAGTGAAAACTTGTTTTTGCGTTATTTCGAGCAAATTTGTTCCTCTGGTTTAAAGCGAATTTTTGAAGCTGCATTACGCCGATTAGATACTTGTGTGTATTCAAGCGTAGAGACTGGATGTCTGAACCTGCTAGTGCATCGTGATGTCACTGAGTGTGCAGCAATAATTTATGAGAAAGACTTGGTTCAAACCAATCAGCACGCTCTAATTGTGTACTAGTAATCACTAGTACAGAACATACAAAGAGGAAATTAGTGTGGAAATTACAATTACAAGTACGATTTGATGATCTAAGACTAGGATGACTTGTGCTTGTGCTTTTATCCAACTATTTAAAAAAAGACACTTAAAACTAATACAAAATAAATTATTTCCATAAGACACTTCTTTTTAAACATTTCTTAATCTATTAACTATTAAATAGTAAACACTTAAACTTAAAAATAAGGGGATGTTCAAAAAATATGCATCAATGGGTGAATTTCCCGCACTTTTGATGTTACGATTTAAGAAAACTGCCTTGAGCTTTTTATTTCTTGAGTTTTTAAGCCATAGCTTGTACATATAATGAAGCTTTTGAAGCTTGGGTCTGGTTTTTCTTTCATTCATTGCGAGACCAAACATGCCCTAAAGCAATGATTCTCAACCGGTAATCCTGCAGGTGGGCCGCTTAAAATTAACTCTCAAAAATATACTATAATTTTTGCTTTTCATTATTAATATGCTATATTAAAATGATCAAAGTAATGGACTTTTTCATGTTCTGTGATTGATTACTTCAAACTCAGTGCGAAAACAGCCTATGATTGCATCTGTGACTAGTACACACAAGTCTATCCATTCAGAAACTATGCGCGAAGTGAAAGTAAAAGTCTCTCTTTGTGTATTTCTGTGAAAAATATATATATATAAATAATTGTTCACAAAAATAAATATATATGAGCAATATCAAACTCGTAGCAGGCCGATATGGCTGTATATCAGCACTAGTGGGTGGTTTTTTGTGTGTATAAATGTATTTTTTATTAATAAATAAAGGCTTAAATTGCATTTCATACAAACATTTTAGAGAAAATGTCAGACAGGTGTGATTTCAAAAATTAATCGGAGAAAAAGGTCCCGAAGAGAAAAAGGTTGAGAACCCCTGTCTTAAAGCACAGATCAGCAACAGCATTTTGTCCACAAACTCATTAAAAAGTCAAAAGTTTTGGATCGGCAAATGTCAATATAAGGGTTCATTTTTGACTTGGCAGATGGAAAATATCATTAAGCAAGTTTAAAGTAAACCAGCAGTGTCTGTCCCTTCCTGAATGTACATGTGCCTTTGTGTATCATGCATGTTGACCTGTGCTGTGTGTTTGTCTGCAGGGGTCTGCGAGTCTGCATGTAAAGGATCAGAGGGGCGTCAATTAATGAGGCGGAGTCTTTCACAAGCACTTCAGATCACAGACGCAAACGCAGCAGGAGCTGCTTTATATGAACACATATGGACAACAGCTGGAGGAAGAGACACCGCTGCTACTGTACTGTTTGTGTGTCTGTGTATGTGTGTCGAGGACTCACCCTTGAGCAGCAGTGGGGTGAAGGGTATGAGTGGGGCTCTCAGACTCGCTAGAAGGTCTCGGTATGATTTGTGGTTCCTTGAAGGGTCCTGAGGAATACACAAACAACACCATCATTATGAAATATGTCAATGTGATGCGTTTCATTGCTCAAAGGGTTATTTCTTTCAAAAGTAGGGTTCTTAGTAATGCTGCATTCAAGTGTTAACTCAGAAAGCCAAGTATTCGCTCAAATAAAGACAAATGAAAAAAATAATTCTGCTTAGTTCTATGTGCATTGAGTAGACATAGTATAAGTAAATATGATTATGATTGAACAAGATGGTGGTGCATACACAACGCGAGGCTCAGCATCTCCAATTTCTGCAGTTTTGAAGTATTTTTCCTTTTTCAGGTCTGTTCGATCAGAACAATAGTGCCTTTACATTGTACACCTGACAGGAGCCTTTGGATATTGGTTTGTGCATTCTTGACACTTTTATCAACAGTCTTCGACTCATCCCTGACAAGCCAAAACACCTGATGCTGAGGTGGAAGTGCTCGAAGGTGGCGTCGAGACCGCAAATAAAGATGGAAAAAGCATGGGGAGCTACACTGTAAAAAATGCAAGGTTCCACACAATTCATTTATGTTGTCCCAACACAAATTAAGTTAACTTCACACTTTTACAAATTCATGTAAATTGAACATAAAAAATTAAGTTGTCCCAATGAAATCTTAAGAATTGTGTTGTTTCAGCACATTTGAAATAATTAGTTTGAACGAGCAAAAAACATATATATTTTAGAGTGTGAGAGCCAAGCTAAAATAATCACTGCATTTTGTTGCCTTGTAATTGTACATGTGTAATACCTATAAAGTTGAATCTAATTTAATATAATGATTAAGCACATACTGAGATCTCAAACCATGCTCAAATTTGCGAAGATCTTAAAGAAATTATTAAGATTGTTATTTTTATAAATCATTCTGAAAAACAAAAATCATGTTTGTAATAACATTGTAAAATGACATTTCAAAGTAATAAAAACAAATCCTATTTTTTATGTTTAAGATTTTTAAGATATTTGCAAACCTGAGCATTCTGAAAATTCAAAATATTATTAGACTCTTTTCACAAACAAAAGAGGAGAATCTAAGAAAAATGTTTTCATTTAATGCGAAAAAAAATAAATTAATCATCTTTTGTGTTCAACAGAAAAAAAAAGCAACTCACAAAGGTTTATAACTCCTTGAGGGAGAGTAAATGATAAGTAAATTGAAATGTTTAGGTGAACTACCACTTAAAAGTCATTGCATTTGTCAGTTTTTTCCACTTACTGCAATGCTCTCAAACTGCTGAAACTGCTTCCGGAACTTTCCTGGCAAACCCTGACAAAAGCACACAAACACACACAATCAGTTACTGACACACTTCACATGCCAAATAAAGCTGTGTCAAGAATAAGGAGGATGTAAAACAGCACATACGCAATAAAACCCACAAATAATGAGGGTTTGTTTTAAATAAAAAGAAAAAAGAAAAGTATAATCTAATAGGTTATGGTTCCTTGAAGTGCCTTGAAACGTGCAGCTTTGTTTAATGTGATGTCATATAAACTGAAACAAGAAAACAGGGTGGCATACAAAGTAGCTCCTCCTCTTTTTAAAAGCAGCCAATAGAGTTTCGTTAGATTCAGTCAGCCAATAGAGTTTAATTAGTCAGTCAGACTCGAGCTAAAGCACATCTGACTCATGACAGCCACCGTCTAAAATGCTGAGTCTGTCTAACTGTTTCTCCACTTTAAAATACAGCATTCGGTGTGTCTTACAGATGGGATGGGTTCGAAACCTTTTGTGGTCCATGCCACATTTCATCTGCTCCATGTTGTGCTCAGTTAACGCACAATTCACCCCAATGAACACTGAATTAAGACTAACATATAGATGCTAACACTCCCCCCGATAAATTGCACTTTGATTTCAAGTGGATGTGGAAATATTTCCTACAGCACAAGCAAATTTGGCTGGGTTGCCATGACGACTGCTAATAGTCTTCTTCCAGGAATAGAGCTGTGCGAGAGACTGAAAGATTGACAAACAAAAGCACTCACTTCCCAGGTCAGACGCAGGCGGCTCACAGCAGGGTTATCCAGACCCAGAACCAGAGCCAGAAACGACAGCAGATCCTGCTGCTGCTTACATCTGAAACACAAAAACACACACATACACTTTAATAAATATTACAGCTCGTAAAAGATTTAAAGGGCACCTATGGTTAAAAATGTACTTTTCGAACTGTTTGGACAGACGTGTGTGGGTATACAGTAGTGTATAGACCGTCATATTGGGGTGATATAAACACACCCAGTCCTTTTTTTTCAATTTAACAACATACAAACGGTGGACCAATTGGAGCGGTTTTTAGATCGGCCGCAACAATATAGGAGTGCGGCCCCCCCGCAAACCAATATTTATTGACAGGCAAGTGTCACCTAATTCTCAGTTTGTCGTTTCATGTCCGCCATTTTCAGTGTGTGATGTCACTAAAGGAACATCCTTGCTTTATTTTCAGATGCAAGGGTCATTGGGTTCAACACAAGATCAGCATTTACCACATGATCGCTGTAATCACAATTATTGCTTGTAACTTAGTTTTTTTGTAAGTAGGTTTGCAAACTAGTGTACTTTTCATTGCGTCTATCTAAAACTTCAGCCGTTTGCATTTCTCGAGGTCACAGAAGCTCCCTGTGAGTGTGATCTTTAAAAGGTGCAGCTGTAAAGTGCGAGCGCCTTTGCCTCACATGAGTGTCACTCCATTGAACATAAAATAACAAACTTGCCTGCAGGTCGCACACCAAAAGTGCCGCTCTGCAACGCTCATCGTCGCGCCACGCAGCGCCATGCATTTAAGAATTCTAAACATAGATTTCTATCAGGGTACACACAACAGCGCTTCAAGTCGGTGGCTGTCCGCGGCGCCCAGCCAGGATTCTGGACACTTCATGTTTCTGCCGCGCCACAGAGCGCCATCTGAATAGTTTCATTTTAAATAACATGCGAATGTTACTCGGTGTACAAGCTCGGAAATTTAAACTAGCACACAGTTGGCTGTAAAACTATACAGAGACACAAATGAGTGTGTACTCTCTGCTTGGTCTGTGTCCGAGGCGTACATGTACGGCTGAATGCTGATCCTCTCATGCTGCTTCTCTCTGTCTGCCTGTTTGTTGTCAAACACTGAGCGGGGGAGCTCTTGGCTCCGCCCCCTTGTTACGGAGGGTGGGAATTTAAAACTAATTTTCATGTGAAGCAACACACCCCTAAAACAGCGAGCTGTGTACACACCCCCAACATGACACTATTTAACACATTATAATAAAAACATCTGAATTGTGATTTGAACTGAACCTAAACTGGCACACTCAGAAGAACCATAATATTAATATTAAATCATAAAAAAGGGGTAAACTATGTGCCCTTTAAAAAACTAAATAGCTATACAAATGAAAACTAGTTAAAAACAATTATATAAATGCTATAAGAGTACAAAACAATAGTAAACAATTTACACTTAAGTTTCACTTTCCCATAAGGCTTCATTACTTAATGTTAGTATGTATTTACTAACATGCACTAAGAATGAACAAGACTTAGACCATGTCTACATGCCTAAATGCACTGAGTTGTTGCCATGTGATTGGCTGATTAAAAAATTGCGTTAATGAGCAGTTGGGTAGGTGTAAAGTGGCCAGGGAGTGTAAATCATTAACATCCAAAATTGTGCTTGTAACATGAGTTAATGCCTTGAGTGTTAATTTTTTTTTTCATCAACTAACATTAACAAAGATGAATACATAGTGTAGCAAGTATATTGTTTATTGGTTGTTCATGTTAGTGAATGCATGGAATCGTATTGTTACTGTTTAATGTAAATAGAAGCGAATAACCCTAAATAAAAATTTAATTAATATTTCATTATAATAAAAACAAACAAATACAACATTTTAATAAAACTTCAGTAGTAAATGATACTGAAATAACTATGGAATATGAATAAGAGGTGAATGAGCTTGCATGAAGAGCCTTGAAAATAACAGTCAAGACTCTCTCACTCTCTTTCTGACCTTTCGAATCACCTGTCATTTTTTTCCTAGCGGTCCTTTAAGACGAAATGCAAATGAGCTGTGTCACAATTGGCTAATGTCATGTGAAATGAATATTTCTGCCCACTCGTGCTTTCTGAATACTGAACAGGTGTTGATGTATGTGGGTGGTCATATGTTAACATGTTCACGCTTCTGACGTCAATACCAGGACCATTTCTGAATAATTCATCACCTTCAAGAATTGGTTCTACATGTACCCTATACAAACTGGTGCTTTGCTCCCCACACGATTCATTCATCAAGAATACAAAAGGCAATTTATTAGAATTAACAAATTACTTTCAGGAGACTGAATAAACCCAAAGACTCAAAATAATCCTTCTGCAACAATATTACTGATGTGTTACACATAATACATAGGAAATCCAAAAAGAAAATAATCTGGGTTACATATGATGGTTTATTTCAATCCAAATTTGAGTAAAATATGAACAAAACATACAGCTGAGTTAATTTATTTGATTAAACTTCTAGGCCTAATTTAACCAAACATTTGGGTTTGTCCATTTTTTATCCAAATTTAAGTTGAAATTACAAAGTAAGATAAAAAAAATACTATGTAAGTCAGTGGGTGCCAGCAAACAGCATTCTTCAAAATATCTTCTTTTGTCTTCAACAGTAGAAATAAACTCAAATAGGTTTGAAAGAAGTGAGTAGATGATGAGCTAGTGTTTATTTTTGGGTGAACTATCCCTTCAAAGGATTTGTTTCAGTTTATTGGAATGTAACAGAGAAGGCCATAAATGTCCTGTGCAGAAAACTCACAAGGCTGCGATCTTGATGAACTTGCGCAGCAGTTGTATCCTCTTGGGCAGTGACTGGCACTGCAGGATCTCGGTGGCGACCCAGTGCTGGACTTCACTGCAGCGCTGCAAGATCAGCTCCAGGTTTAGGGGGCGCCAGCGAGCCTGCTCACCGTGAAACACGTAGCACACAAACTCCACCTGTTCAAACAAAAGCACAGAGGGGAAACATTGCATAACGGCCTGTAAAGGTCTGTTGTTTTATATGAACTTCGCTATGAGAGTAGCCTTGAACTTAAACCCGTTTCCTAGGGCACACAACTGATTGCAATGGAAAACTACTACTGTTGAACAGTAGCATCTGTTTGTCTTTGAGATATATGTACATGATCTTTGATTATTATTATTATTATTATTATTATTATTATTGGCATAATAATATATTTTGAATTTTATATGTACTTCAGTGTTTTTTTTTCTTATTGTTTGCATTCATTTCTTGTATTAGTTGTATATTTTTTAAGTTTACTTATTTTTGACTTTATTTTGTGTTTTAAGCAAATATACAGTTGAAGTCAGAATTATTTCCCTTTGAATTTTTTTTCTTATTTAAATATTCCTCAAATGATGTTTAACAAAGCAAGGACATTTTCACATGATAATGTGTCTGATAATATTTTTTCTTCTGGAGAAAGTCTTTTTATTTCAGCTAAAATAAAAGCAGTTTTTAAATTTTCAAAAAAACATTTTAAGGTCAAAATTATTAGCCCCTTTAAGCTACATTTTTTCGATAGTCTACAGAACAAACTATCATTATACAATAACTTGCCTAATTACCCTAACCTGCCTAGTTAACCTAATAAACCTAGTTAAGCCTTTAAATGTCACTTTAAGCTGTATAGATGTGTCTTGAAAAATATCTAGTCAAATATTATTTACTGTCATCATGGCAAAGATAAAACAAATCAGTTACTAGAAATCAATTATTAAAACTATCAATTTTGGAAATGTGTTATAAAAAACAGGGGGGCTAATAATTCTGACTTCAACTGTATGTACATTTTATTTGTTTTTATTTTAACTTTGTTTATTGTCAATGTTTAAATGTCTATCAATAAGAAATATTTCATGTCATATTTAATTTCAATATTTATTGTTCTAAATTTAAATCAAAATCTATTTTATCTATTTTATAATCAATTTCAAATTTGCTATTATTTGGTCATTTAATATATTAATTAATTTATGTTTAGTAATTTTAGTGTTTTAAATAATTTTAATTTAATGAATTGTCTTATCAACATTTCAATATTTGATTTAAAGTATCATCTAATATTTCATTTATTTTGGAGTTATTCACTTTAGGTTTATATAGCTTAAAACTAAATCCATTTCGGTTAAAAAATATATAATACATAATATAATATACATAATTTAATATATAATACTTTTTTTTTCAAAGTTCAGGTACCAACAGCAACTTTTAATGGATTTTTATTTGAAATACACAGAATCAAAAATATACAATCTGAAAATCACATTTACTTCTCAACAACATTTATTTACATATTTAAAACTCCTAAATATACAAACAATTAAACAACTAAAACTTGAAAAAAATAACTATTTCTAACTTTTACAAGTTACTAAAATCCCATGCATTTTATTCCCACATTCTTATGAAATACCCCCCTGTAAATATAAACACTACTTATACAGTTTAATGCTGAGACAAATAATAATCCAACTTCTGTGAATCTTATGACATTTTATCTGTTTTTAAATATCATGTTTTAGAGTTAGAGTGATAGTCTCATTAAATATGAGAATATTACATATTTTGATATTACCATGTATACAGTACAGACACACCTTTGCATCTTTTGTGTGTGTGTGTGTGTGTGTGTGTGTGTGTGTGTGTGTGTGTGTGTGTGTGTGTGTGTGTGTGTGTGTGTGTGTGTGTGTGTGTGTGTGTGTGTGTGTGTGTGTGTGTGTGTGTGTGTGTGTGTGTGTGTGTGTGTGTGTGTGTGTGTGTGTGCGTGCGCGTGCGTGTGTGTGTGTGTTGACCTCGTGCACACAGCTGAAGAGCTCCCAGTCGAACACCACCAGCTGATTGGCCACCTCCTCTGCACTCATGTCATGCAGTTTACTGTCTCCTGGTGTCCAGTGGATCTCCTCAGGCAGAGGAATCTGGCACACAAACACAACAGCACCATCAGCACCAGACAATATGAGCTTTTCAATAACTTCCAGACTTAAGTCTTCAATATTTGCTTTTTGTTTGACTGAAGAACAGAGTGAGGCTGAACTGCACTCTCAGATTTTACACAATGTTGGTTCTCTCTGTTTGACTTGTGACGAGACACTGCTTTTAGATTGTGGTTAAATAAAACAAGATTATCTAAATCTTCAAAAATCTCAGTTTCACAGGAAACCTTTGAACAGTAGTTTGGTTGTACATACAGTTTTATTCAGCAAGTATGCATTTAACATGATAAAAAAATACATTTTAGAAAATGTATACTCTGTAAGAACTTAAACTACTGTTTGAATCTGATCGTGTGATGAACATTCTAAAAGCCCCAGTCAGATCACACGATTTTGTCACGATTTCAGCACAATTTCCTTGACGTAGGCTGTCGTAGGAATTCGTAAACGACAAATGGGCATCATAACACAAGATTCAATTGTTTCATCTTGTGCAATGTGGCATAGTTCACGACAACCGATACCATATCTGCGACGCCTCACGACACCATCGCAGAACGTCTAGCATGTTTAATTTTTTTTCCCGTTCTTCATGATGAGTTCCGTCATGTGGGTGACACTTGGCAATAGAAGCACATCATTTCTCCATTATATCTACGGTGATGCCTTTAATCTGTTGGTCAGGTAATCAAAAAACAGGCTGCATATTTACTTATGGGTGGGTATTGGGTGGTCAATCATTGGTTATGCAAACTTTAAATTCTTTCTCTAAAATATGAAAGTATTTTAAGCAACTTTATCAGGCACAAATATGCAGACATCTTCATTCTCAAAAGGAGTTTCTGAGTTCTCTCATCCTTCCAACAGAGTTTGTTCTTCAGGGGTAATCTGGGAACTTGTTCAGTGCTGCGAAAAGATTCTAAAAACCTGTCTTGCTTATTCAGACAAAACAAATTAAATTGAAACTCACCAGAAATGGATGATTTTGTCATTTAATGTAGGTCTTTCTGAAACTATAAATATTTCATTTTAATTTTATTTTAATTTTATTTAATTTTATTTATTTATTTAACTTTTTTTTTTAACAAACCAGTTTGTGCTTTGGCGCTGAACATAGCGGACTGGTTTTAAAGCACTTTACCTCAGTTGTTCTTCGTTATTCTTATTTTTCTAGAAGAAAACTGACCGACAAAAAAATACATTACAGTTAAGAAACAAATTATACCAAATAAAATTAGTTTCAAAAAGATATTTTTTCTAAGGAAAATATACAATTTATTTTGTTTGTGCCCGTCCTCCACTCAACTGTGCGGGTGGATGATTCATTTTGCTCCATGGAAAATAAGGATTTCATTATTACTTCACTGTAATTGTTGTAACACAAACCTCTGTCATATATTTGCTTTTTTTTTCAATATGTCATTATTTTGTCATGAGCATCTGATTTTTCTATAATGCTGATGCACTTTCATTTTCTCCATAACAGGATAACTGATTGTGAAGGAACGTGTAGTCTGGCACATTTGTTACCCACAACAAGTCAAGATTTTATCAAGAAAAAAATCACATAATCTGACATAATGACTTTCATAACCGACAATAAAAATCGTGTGATCTGACCAGGGCTGAAGGTGACCAAATATTTTCAGATAAATGCACATCTAAGGCAGTACTGAAGGTGCATCACCATCTTAAGCATGTATTGTTTTTCTAATTTTGTCAATTATTCCATATATATAAACATTTAAAATATTGAAACTGTCATTATCTTCACATTATGTAACCATAAAAATATTTTAAAACTATATTTTTAAATCCAATTATTGCCTTGAATTCCCTTGAAAAGTATTCCTGTGATTTTTCAATGTCACAAAAAGTTTTGTATAAAACAGGTTAATGCTAAATGGTGTTGCACTTTGTAGATATCTGCATTACTGCTGAATTTACCCAGCGGTAGCTCTTGATGTATCACATAAAACAATCATAAGTCATAATTGCAGTGCGGCACCAGGCATTTATGGTTGCTATTTATGAGGGTCTCCATGGCAACTCCAACACCCCTCCTCCTCCCGCCAAACCCTAGCATCTCGCCCACAGCTCTCACCAGGCTCTCGAGCTCCGCCGGCTCGCAGGCGAACAGGTGGGTGTTCACACCGAGAGTGGTGAAAACGGCCTCGTCGCTCGGACGGAACACAGCCTTCTCTGAACAAACACACAGCAGAGATTACATTACACTCACACATTACTGTCACTGCAGGAAACACCATGTCCCCAAACACTGACTCAAGGTCTGCTGGGTTTGAGGATTCTCTGCTTACACCTGGTATTAAGATGCATTTTAGTTGATCGGATCACAAGGAAATGGGAGAGATACATTCCCGTTTATATCGATTTGTCTTTTCCAACCACTTTTGAGCATTTCTTTTTTACTATGGATGAGTGTACATGGGCTTTTTCTGAACCAATATTGGGAAATAAGCTTGTTGACTTTACATAATAACACAATAGAAGACCACAGAAAATAATACACAGATCAGCATTTGTTTATGCACTGATACTGTAGCTGTGTAACAAATACACTGTGTTTGTGTTAGAATCAAGACTGGTGAGAAAACATCACGCCTTTTACGTTTTGACCTTCAAACCAAAGTTATGGTTTCAAAACAGCAAAGTTTAATCCCATTTGGCTAGCACACTTAAACAACATGTCCTGAAATGTTTAAGAATTAGGTCAGTGGATGGAGTGTAGCTGGTGTTCAAATGCATTCAGCCACATGAGCATTTACTTTACGCAAGTGATCATATTAAAATGTTTTCGAATACCTCTGGAAGCGGTCAAAAGCTCAAAACGTTTCACAACTACAGTATTTTAAAAGTAAAAACAAAAAAATATTTTTCTTTGAGTGTTTGAAAGTTTTTAAAGTTTATAGAGAACCGAAAATTAAGATATTTTGAAGAATGTTGATTTTTTTTTACATTATCAAATATTACATTTTTTGGGTGAATTATTAAACACAATCTACTTGTAAAAAGATCGACAAAATGCCTCATAATACCAGGTTTAAACTGGCCTTTAGTTTGCAAGGAGCAATCTTTAATGCTCTTACCCCCTGATGAGGTGACAGCCACCAGTATGAGGTTGGCAGGTTGGGTTGGCTGGTCCTCGCTGTACTGGAGCTTCTCTTTCACCAAAGCCAAGATCTCCCCAACCCGGCATGAAAGACGGCTTCGTATGGTAACGTATGAATGATCTGGCGTGTAAACCCTGCAAAAGACTTAAACATGGGACAAACACTTAATGCTTCTATTTGACACAGGTTAATTTGCATGTTCAAAATTCAGGTGGTCAATAAGCTTTAAAAGAATAGTTTTACATGTAAAACAAAAAAAATATTCTTAACATGGGCAGCATGGTGGTGCAGTGGGTAGCGATGTCGCCTCACAGTAAGAAGGTTGCTGGTTTGAGCCCCGGCTGGGTCAGTTGGCATTTCTGTGTGAAGTTTGCATGTTCTCCCCATTTTTATATGGGTTTCCTCCGGGTGCTCCGGTTTCCATCACAGTCCAAAGACATGCGCTAGTGCAGTGCATTTATGCTGCATTCCAGACAGCTCAGTATTGGGATTTAACCTACATTAACTTAATGTTTAGAATGATGCTTTAGAAGTTGGACATCAAACCTGTGAACTCAGGGCAGATTGAAGAATCCTCACTTCAGTGAGACTCATTTTAGATGTCATTTGACATCACTTCACAGATGGTCACTGTTTCTGCTTTGGCGAGATTGGCATGTTGCTTAAGCCACAATTGGCATAATTACATGTTATGAATATTATGAACAAAACAGTTATGAAATATTCACATCTCACATGGTAAAAATGAGACTGTGTTGTGTAATTGACTGGAACACATTGAGGTAGAAAGTGGGACATTTCTGTGCTAAAATTTGCACCTCTGTGTCTGGAACGCAGCATTAGCCATGTAGATGTGATCAATACAATTAAAATGCAAAGCATTAAAATAGTAAAGAAAGGTGATTTGAGTGGCTTTGAATGTGGGGCAGATGCTAGAACCAGAAGGACTGGTCTGAGTACATCAGAAACATAGATTTACATGCACTGACTTTCAGAGAATGGCCCAAAAAAGAAAAATATTCAGTGAATGTCAGTTTTGTGGGCAATACGCCCTGTTGATGCTAGAAGTCAGAGGAAAAGGCCCAGACTAGCTGGAGCTCATAGAAAGGCATCTGAGTAAGTCAATAACCAATTGATACAACTGAGGTTTTGCAGAAAAGCTTCTCTGAGTCTGAACACGCGTTAAACCTTGAAGCAGATGAGCTACAGCAGTAGAAATGTGCACATGATCTTAACCTGTGCACAGCAAATGTTGGTGTGGATTAAGCTTGCACAGACCACAGACCAAGCAAAAATTTGTTTGTATGCTCATTTTATAACCACTATATATATATATACAGTACAATACAGCACAGTAAGAAGGTCTCATTGCAAGAAGGTCGCTGGTTCGAGCCACAGCTCGGCCAGTTAGCATTTCTGTGTTCTCATGGGTTTCCTCCGAATGCTCCGGTTTCCCCCATAGTCCAAAGACATGCGGTATAGGTGAATTGAATAAACTAAATTTGCAGCAGTGTGTTTGAATGTGTATGGATGTTTCCCAGTACTGGGTTGCAGCTGGAAGGGCATCCTTTTTTTTTTTGATGTTTTACTGTAAATTCATTCATTCATTTTATTTTCAACTTAGTCCATTTATTAATTTGGGGTCGCCACAGCGGAATAAACAGATAACTTATAGAGCATATGTTTTACACAGCGGATGCCCTTTCAGCTGCAACCCAACACTGGAAAACACCCATAAACTTTCATTCACACTCATACACTACAGCCAATTTAGCTTATTCAGTTCACCTGTACTGCATGTTCTTGGACTGTGGGGAAACATGCAAACTCCACAAAGAAACATCAACTGACCCAGCTGGAACTTGAACCAGCAATCTTCTTGCTGTGAGGTAATCTTGCTACCCACTGCACACCATGCTTCCCTGTTTTAATCTAAATATTCCTGTGAGTTACTCCAGAAGTCATTACTCCAATCTTCGGTCTCATAAATTCCCTTTTAAGTTCAATTAAATGTTAAATAGTAAAGCACATGTACAGTATTGACTTCCTCTCCATTCACCAGTCACGGCTCCGACAAAAGCAGAAACTGGGTCACTGGAAGCTTCGGGGTCAGCAGCGTTTTGTACTGTCAGATTGCCTATTGATTAAGGTCTGGGAACGCACTTAGCTTGGCTTGAGCCACTGCCCTGACAAAGAGTCTCATTCCATCAGATGAGCTCATTGCATCTATAAAACTTGGCAGACGCTCCCATTGTGACCCGATTTGTCATCCTGGTCTGAATGAAGTAGAAGCAGACTGGCACTTTTTACAGGAAAAAAGGGAAAGGATGAATAAGATGATTCATTAACGGTATCCTCATGGGCGTTATTGCACAGCTAAGCAAATGCAATGGTAATAAACTGCGGTCAGTCTGTACAATATTTATGCATTCTATTAAATTACAAGTTTATACATACTCTCGTCTGAGCCACGGAAAGCCTCTCGGGGCTGCAGGCAGGCGTCGATGCGTCTGAAGTGTCGGAAGAGTGGGCGAACTTGCTTCTTACGACTTTCCTTGTCCTCCTCGGCTCTGTCAGATAGGAGGCAAAGAAGTCAGGTAGCTATTTGAGTGCCTAAAGTTATGTTACCAGTAGATACAGTATTTATATCCATACAGTATATACAGTATATATCCAAAATAATGGACACCCCTCCATGGCTGCATAATAATATGCTCTTTATAAGAGAAAATTGCAGTGAAATGCTATTCGGTTTGTAGAGAAAGCTAGATAATGTCATGTTTTTTAGACAGAAATTGTCTGCAGCATTGAGATGTGTGAAATTAAATTGAAACTAAAAAATAGTATAAGCAAAAGTTTGGGCACCCTCTCTTTTGGTTGGATTTCAAAACCTGTAGCCACCTAATGCTGAATGATTACAACACAAAATTGATTTGAGTAATGCAGTGAACCATAACAATCTTTACAGAGGTGCAACCGATCATGAAAATGGATATTTAAGGTTGCTGATTGCGAGTTGTGCTTCTCCTTATTGTAAACCTGAAAGTAGCAACACGGGAACCTTAAAGGTACTTCCTAACGACTTAAAAACTAGGATAATTCCCCCACATGAATTAGGAGAAGAATGCAAAAAGCTATCACAGAGGTTTAAAGTCTCTATCTCCACAGTCAGAAATATAGTAAGAAAATGGAAGGGCACAGGAACAGTCCTTGAGAAGAAAAGACCAAAAATAGGGCACAGGAAAAGTCCTTGAGAAGAAAAGACCAAAAAAAAAAAAAAAAAACTGAAAGGCAAAGGCCAAGAATGGTTAGAATGGTCACAGACATACCACAGACCACCTCCAAAGATTTCCAGGATCATCATGCTGCTAATAATGTCATTGTTCCACAGTTCAGCACACTCTTCACAAAGAACAACTCAATGGAAGGTGATGCAGAAGACGCCTTTTCTGAATTCTGCCATCGAGAAGAGTCGTTTGAGGTAAGCAAAGGCTTATCTGGACAAGCCTGAATCATTTTGGAAATATATTCTGTGGACAGATCCCACAACCATAGACACTTTCCATGGCAAAAAAGAACAAAGCATTCCAGGAGTAGAACCTGCTCCCTACTGTAAATATGGTGGAGGGTCCATCATTCTGTGTGGATGTGTGAATGTGTGGCAAGCACAGGTACAGGAAACCTTGTCAGAGTTGAAGGTTACATGAAATCCACCCAGTTGTCTGGGTCTTAAGTTAATAGCAATGTTCAGGAATCAGTCAAGAGGCTGAAGTCATGGGAGGTTTGGATGTTTCAGCAGGACAATGATCCAAAGCACAGTTCTAGATCTACCAAGGAATTCTTGCTCAGACACGATACAATGTTCTAGAATGGCCATCCCAGTCCCCAGACTTCCCCAGTCCACAGAAAAATCTATGGATTGATTTGAAAAGGACTGTTCATGCTTGTCAGCCATCAAATCTGACTGAACTGAATGGTCCAAAATGCCTTCAGCAAGAATTCAGGGACTTATCCTTGACTATTAGAAGCTTCTACAGGCTGTTATTTCAGCAAAATGTGGCCCTATAAAAGATCGATGTCATTATTATGTTGGGGTGCCCAAATTTTATCATCTGTCTGTTTTTGTTATGTATTAAATTGCATTGTATCTGTTGATTAAATAAATGTTATGTCTGAACTAAAATGTAGCTCTTCCATAAGATATACAGACTCAACTTTATTATCCCGTTTAGGGAAACTAAAATTGCAGCAAGGTGCTGTAACACAGATGAAGTTCCTTGTACATAAGAAAAAATATTACCCCACAACATTCAAATACATCACATTGTCGGTGCATCTCCCTTCTCCCTGGACTCTTTTAATGACCTAATGGCCACCATTATAAAGGAATTTCTAACTCTATTTGTCCTGCTAATAGGAACTAAAAAACGACGTCCTAATGGCAACAGCTGAAACACACGGTACAATGGGTGATCCAGGGTGCATAGGATACCCTGAGCTCTCTTTAGAACATCAGTATGGTAAATTACCATTGGACAAGTTTAGTTAAAATCAATGATCTTGCCTGCCACCTTCACTAGGCTACTTAACCTGTTCTTGTTTAACACACTCAGATTACTGTACCAAGCTACAATGCAGAAAGATAAAACAGATTTAATAAATTGTTTGTAAAACAATGTCATCATAGAGGTACAAACCTGAAACAATATACGATATGCCCAAATGAAATTGTTGATTTGGTGGCCAAACTTTTGCATAAGACTGTAACTATTTAAGCTAACATTTGTTTAGTAATGGCATCAAGGATAGAAAGAAATGGTCCATGCATGGGCAAGGAATTTGAAGACCAGTATTGGCAGTCTCTTAAACTGTTTGTTATGACTGCAAATCCAAGATGAGCAGACAGTGGAAACAGCACTGATGCAAAATTATCAAAGAATGGTCTTATGTGAGAGATGCCATATAATAAAAAAATTCAAGGGTACGTAATAAGTTACGTAATTTTGGTGAAAAACAACCCCATATTTAATTATCATTTGTCTTTATGCACAAACTACATTAGTGCAACAGTTCATTCTGATTTTTACAAGCACTATTTATAATTCAACATCAATAAAACATCTAATAGTAATCCCAACACCTAGAGATCCCAAAAAGTGGAAATCTCTCTCCACAATAAGTAAGATGAAAGTCAAAATGACAGCTGACAAGTGTAAATAAAAACATATTGCTGTGACAAACATATTTACTTGCAATGAGAACATACATGGATACTATTTGGTGCTGTACTTAAACTATGGTGGAGTTTGTTTCTCGTGAGATTGTAGTCATGCATTTGTAGTATTCATTTCATTAATAATAATAATAATAATATAATGTAGTTTCCAATGTTTTTCACCAAACCCTATTGTGTACATCAGGCCACTCAGAATATGTATCACTTGGATTATTATACCTTTTTTGCATCTCTTTTAAAGCTTAATGCCATAACTGTTCACTGCTATTATATGGACAAGAATGATGATCCCCAAATGATGACATTATTTTCATTTTTGGATAAACCATCCCCGTTTAATGTCAACCAGAAAAATAAACTGGGTTACAGAAGAAACTGTTTGAGAGTTTATAAAATGACTGCTGCTCAGTTGAGAGGCTTTTAATGGCACAATCGGAATCAAACAACACATTAAAAAGTTAATCTCCCCACATTAATTCTTCATCTGGTTCTAAAGCTCTTAATGGGCAACTACATGTGCTTCGTTTAATACTTTACAACTCATGTTGTACTTCACAAACTAAGAGGCTGTGAGTCTTCATGCACTATATAATTTCCTCTTTCTCTATGATTTCTGCAGCCATTAAACCCATAAAAACATTTGCAGCTTATACAGACGAAGAGGGATTTGATGCTTACGGGCTGTGTAATATCTCAGTCCAGCGCTGCAGTTTCAGCACGTCTTCCACCAGTTCAGGAAAGCGGTTGAGCTCGTCAACCGCACACAAATACAGCTCCTAAAACAACATGATGCAATATTAAGACCAAGAGGAACATCATGAAAGAGAAGAAGATATTGATCATTATAAAAAAGCTGAAGAAACATGATGTGAATTATAGACCTTGTTTATGATCTTATAGTTTAAAACAGCTGCACAAAAAAACAGACCGAACAAAAAAGGAACAAGATATCACAGACAGGAATGCAGGTGTGTTTGTCTTTAATTAAGAAACGCTGAATTGAAAGAAGCGAAAACAGCAACAATACGTTTTGTTACCACAGTAACCATGATATCTTAATACCAGACATGACACACATTCTGTACAAATGGTTCAAAATATGTTATTAGGTTTTTTGCACAAAAATGTAATCAGGTTTATGCTTAGGAAAATAAATTGACAACCGGATGACAGAATCTTAATTATAAGACTTGTGTTGCTTCCTGAATCAATAAAAAAGACATTTAAAAAGGACATTTGCAGCTTGTTCAAACTACTCATTTAATTCCTTTTTTACTTATTTAATTATTAACAATTTTAAGAATTAAGATATATTAATTGTTGCAATCAAAACATTTCTAGAATTAGATGCTTTGTTTCAAGTGAGGACTTTCAGAAATTTGTTCATGCTTTTATCAGCAGTAGGGTGGATTACTGTAATGGACTCCTTACTGGGCTTCCCAAAGGGACAGTCAGACAGTTGTAGCTAATTCAGAACGCTGTGACCAAGATTCTGACTAGAACCAGAAAATCAGAGAACATCACACCTGTCCTCAGGTCTTTGGCTACCAGTTACATTCAGAATAGATTTTAAAGCATTACTACTTGTCTATAAATCCCTAAATGGCCTAGGACCTCAATACATTACAGATATGCTCACTGAATACAAACAGATCATGCAGATATTTAGGATCAAGTAAATTAGAAATTTTAAAAGTTCCGTAAAAGTAGGGTGAATCTGCCTTCAGCTACTACACCCCTCTCCACTGGAATCAGCTTCCAGAAGTGATCAGATGTTCTCCAACATACGTTCAAATCAAGACTGAAAACACATCTGTTTAGCTGTGTCTTTGATGAATGAGCACTGAGCTACGTCCGACATATCGCATTGTGTTTTCTTTAATTTTCCACTCTTTTATAACCTGTATTAACACATTTTAATCTGTTTTAATATGTGTTTTTATTTTTTTATACTTGTCTTTTTTTCCTGTCTATGTAAAGCACTTTGAATTGCTACTGTGTATGAAATGTTCTATATAAATAAACGTGCCTTGCCTATTTTACAGATTTAAGTGTTCAATACACTTAAATGTGCACGCATGATTAAGTTAACTTAATCGATTGGTGTTGAGACGACATGAAAGAACTGTGTGGAACCCTGCATTGTTTACAATGTAGGGGTATTAGGTAATTTTACAGGCAAACGTCATTAAAATATTTAGAAATAAATTATATTTGAACAAACTGCATGTATATTTTTGAAGTTTGAGCTAAGCAAGTGTACAATTTATCCAGAAAAAAAAAAAAAAAAAATATATATATATATATATATAAATATATTTCTTCTTATTATTTATATTGTTACTTATTATTTATCAGGTTGGAAAAAAACACATGTGCAGTACCTTTGGGAAGGTGTTGGAGCGATCGCCCTCCTCCTGCAGTAAGTCTCTGTATGTGTCCAGATAGCGGAAGGCCACAGTCAGAACTGCAAGTTTTCGCTCTGCTCCATCCCACCCGGGCCAACCCTCACCCTGCTTACCCTCTGAACTGAATCTGAGCCAGGAGTTAAAGAAAACACACTCACGAGCCAACACACACACACCTGTGCTCGCTATATTAGATGAATATAAATACACACGTCTGCACCTGTAGTCACACAGACCAACAGAAAGACAGACAGACGAATAGACAGACAGACAGATAGATTTAAATATATATTAGATATATTATAGATAGAAGGACAGATAAAGAGAAACAGACAGACAGACGGACAGACGGACGAATGGATAGATGAACAGACGGAAAGACAGATAGATGGATGGGCGGACAGACAGAGAAATAGATGGACAGACAGACAGACAGACAAACGGACAGACAAACAGACGGACGGACGGACGGACGGAATGACAGACAGACAGACAGACAGACAGACAGACAGACAGACAGACAGACAGACAGACAGACAGACAGACAGACAGACAGACAGACAGACAGACAGACAGACAGACAGACAGACAGACAGATAGATAGATAGATAGATAGATAGATAGATAGATAGATAGATAGATAGATAGATAGATAGATAGATAGATAGACTACCAGACTGCCTTTTGTAGTCTAAAACACAACACACAGCTGGTGTTTTTCAGCATATAAACTGTATGGAGTGGGTTTATATGAGTGGCTGTGGATAAACACATACTCAGACAGCCGCTGTCCGATCACCTGACACAGATCCCGCGCTGGAAAAACAAAATCTATGCTTCTGTGGCCAGACAGCCAGAATAATTACAACCTTTGAAAAGTATTGAGGGCGATGGAACACACCCATCACACCCACACACACACACTCACATGCTACAACATAAACACACACATGCAATGGATTTTTCTGCACTTGCACATGCGCCAAGTTGGTAGTCACACAAAAGCATTTAAAAAAAAGACGTATCATTTCCCAGCACGTACAATGACCTAAAATCTGCAAAGACTCCCTGTCCCCAATCCTGCCAGTCCTATGAGCAGGAAACCTGAAAGGCGGACTAAATTTAAAGTGGAGTATCCCTGAGCCTCTATAATTAAAGAGTCCCCGACACTCGTCTAAAATTGACACAGCTATTCCTGTACAAAATAAGGCCCAAGTGGAGCTTCTGCAAATGGCATCCGAGATCTAGTAAATCTATATCCAGAGCGTCACCTCTGCTCGGGTGCCAAAAAACAGCAGCAGTCTGATCCACTGGGCAGCTGCGAAACTGAACTCTGTTCCCTTGCACGAGTCCTGGATCATGGCCTCAGCAGCGGTTTGGAGTCTGGCCAGACTGACTCCATCAGGACTGGGTGAAGTGAGGTTATTAAAGTTTTGTGTGTTTTTTTTTCAGTAAGTTTTTATTTTGAAACTGTTCTTACATTTGTATTCTTTAAAATTCAGTTCATTTCAGTTTAGATTTAGTTGGTTTCATTAATGGTTTTGTTAGTTTTAGTTTATTTCTATTTAGTTTTTATATATATTTAGTTTCACTTTTAGTAAGTTTAGCAGAGCTAACAGAACGCATCTAGTGTTGACAGAAGCAAAGCGGTTACCTTGACAAAAGTCCTGTCATCGATGCCAGTTGTAAGAGCAACAAATAATAACTTGATCATCATTTGGAAAAGTGGCAGAAGGTCAATGTATCCATTGAATCATCTGTTGAACTGCATCCCAATCATCCCAAATACTGCAGAAGACCTATTGGAACCCACATGGACCCAAGGTTCTCACAAAAATCAGTCAAGTTTGGGGAAGGAAAAATTGTGGTCAGGGGTTACATTCAATATGAGGGCGTGCAAGAGATTTGCAGAGTGGATGGCAACATCAAAAGCCTGAGGCATCAAGACATTTGTGGTGCCCATTACATTACACACCACAGGAGAGGGCAAATTCTTCAGCAGGACAGCACTTCTTATCATACTTCAGCCTCCACATTACAGTTCCTGAAAGCAAGGAAGGTCAAGGTGCTCCAGGATTGGCCAGCTCAGTCCCCAGATATGAACATTATTGAGCATGTCTGGGGTAAGATGGAGAAGGAGGCATTAAAGATGAATCAAAACTCTGTCCTCGAAACCAAACGTATCTCCTCCTAGGCTGGTCATACTACAAGACACAAATTTGGTCAAAATATGCCTTCTGCATTCAAGATTGTTGCTATATCTCCTCACGCCAATCATTTTTTTATTTTTTTTAAATATTACATTTTAATAGTCCAGACATATAAAAAATTATACAAGCCCCAAATTTGGCCAAAGGCTGTGTTCTTCATTAGATTTTCTAGCTATATCTTTTTAGCTTTATCATTTATAGTTTTTCGATAAATAATTTTTAAGCATTATTGTTCTCAAGACATGGCAAGATATAAAACTCCATGACTTAAACTCCATATTCTTTACTCATAAGGCATTTTTACATAAAGTCCAAGGCTGTAATAGGGACATCGGGGTTGAATTATATCACTCGTATAGGCAAGAAGCTTTGATGTATCATCACTAAGCTGTCAATTGTTCCCATAGCAATAAAACAGGCTAACCTAGCAAACATTTAAAAACAGCAACATCTCTGCATCAGAACATCATAGGGAGCTAAGTATTGGCTCGTTTGACTCATGCTAGCAAATGGGACTTACTGTGTACAATGCATGGTAACAATACTTAGCCAAGTGCTAATAACAATTAGCTACATGCTATCAATTATTATATAAGTGCAATAACATATGCTAGAAATACCTACTAAGTATTAGCATTTAATTAAACATGTACACAAGCGTTTCCATTAAGCAACTGCTTAGCAACCACCTAGCAATGCCATAAACATTTTATCAACTGCCTAGCAACAACTTAGCAACCTCTGTGCTTCCTGCCAACTGCCATTCCCAGTCCTAGCGCAGTCACATTGGCTTTCCCAAGCCAACATCAAAGTTCACTACAGACTTTAGGTTTTAGTTCATTTTGAAAACAATAATTTTCGCTAATTCTTCTATTATTGTACTTTTGTTATTTCAGTTTAGTTTTAGTTTTCCATTTATTGTGAATGCAAACATATTTTTGATAGTTTTAATCTTAGTTACTAATAGTGTTAGTCTTTCGTTTACTAAAATAACCCTGATGTGAAGAGCTAAAAGCACTGTCAGTCCTAAATCAAAAGGATTCATCCTTTTATTAAACCCCTTAAATGAGCCCTGACAAAGTGGGAAGGGTAGGAGACGGAGTCTTTTCCAAGCAGGAAGCAGACATGTTGCCACAACAAAAAAGATCTGATTAGGCCTGGATTAGGTCAAGTCAAAGACCAGGAAAAAAGGTGTGGAAAGTGGAAAGATAAACGTCTCAGGAGGAGGGACAGGAAAGAGAAAGAGAGAAGTGGATCATGTGGCGAGGTGATGATGGCAGTCGGGCGAGATTAGTAAGGGTCACTAATTGCCGCAGACATTTGGGAGGGGGGATTTGTCCCGTAAGAGATCTGCAGCAGACACGCTACATTAGGAGCGCTGAGGCATGCAGACGGGCCTCCCCAGGAATACCTTTGTGCTTAAAGTCCGCAGACAAGCCCCTCAGACGCCATTATGGTTTGGATAGAGGGGTGGGGGGGCTATGGCACTCACAGAAAGAATGTAGGTCACTGAAAGAGAGAGGGGTGTCCTCTGCACACACTCATACACACTCCGGCACAATGCTTAAAGCCAGCAAAACAAACACATTCCGCACATTGCACACTTCTTATCTGAATATCGGCAACCCCGATAGACCCCCGAGGGATGGAGGGGATGGGCCCGCGGAGTGGGTTAGAATTGCAGCTAATTGGTAAATCATTTTGACCCAAATTTTAAACAGCATGTGTGAGTGCTCCTCGCCCCTTGGGACTCTTAGGCTCTTCGGCTATGTGTGTTGGCTGTTTTTGGGAGATAATTTCACTCATTTTGGGAGTGTTTTGAAGACAGAACTGTGTTTGGGATAATAATTCTGAGCTTTATCTAAAGTAAATCTGATTGGCAAATATGTTTGAATATGACATTTTAAACATATAGCATATCCAGTTGAAGTCAGAATTATTAGTCCCCCTGAATTATTAGCCCTCCTGTTTATTTTTTCCCCAATTTCTGTTTAACAGAGATATTATTCAACAAATTTCCAAACATAATAGTTTTAATGACTAATAACTGTTTTATATTCTCTTTGCCATGATGGCAGTAAATATTTGACTAGATCTTTTTCAAGACACTTCTATACAGCTTAAAGTGAACTAACTAGATTAATTAGGTTAGCTAGGCAGGTTAGGGTTATTAGGCAAGTTATTGTATAACGATGGTTTGTTCTGTAAACTATCAAAAATATATAGATTAAAGGGACTAATAATTTCAACCTTAAAATGTTTTTTTTTTTAAATTAAAAACTGCTTTTATTCTAGCCAAAAGAAAACAAATAAAACTTTCTAGAGAAGAAAAAATATTATCAGACATACTGTGAAAATGTTCTTGCTCTGTTAAACATAATTTGGGAAATATTTAAAAAAAGAAAACAAATTTAAAGGGGGGCTAATAATTCTGACTTCACCTGTACTGGATGAGTAAAATGTAGCAAAGGTTTAAAACATCAGGACAAATAGTTTTGTTTACTGACAATGCTATCCATAGCATGCTTTCCAAAGCAACAAATTGACTAAAGCACCCAGCAACAACTTAAAATAAAGTTGAAGAAAAACTAAATTGTAAGGTGTATACGGAATTTCAGCAGACAGAAAATTAAGATCTCAGAATAATCACAGCAAAACTCTTTTTTGTTCTTCCTTTTGGGGAAAAAATGATTTCCAATTACACCCTTAAGCCACCCATAAATGTGAGAATGCTGGTTTTGTTTTGAATACGTAAATCTGAAGCAAGTTTTCAACTACAGAAATAATAAACATACACTGTGAAACGCAAAAAGTTAAGGTAACTCAAACCGTTTGAGGAAACCGAGTGCAAAAACCATTATAGTTCAAAAACTAATCCTAATGAGTATTGTGAACTTAATCCTTTTGAGTAAATGAAGCGATTTGAGCACAGTAAAACCCAATAAGTGAAGAGAACTCAAACTGACTGAGTACTGTAAAACCCAATAAGTTCAGGCAACTCAAACTGTTTGAGGAAACCCATTGCTACAAATTATTTGAGTTAAAAAAAAAACTAATCTACATGAGTACTGTGAACTTTCTCCATTTAAGTTGACGTAATGAGGTATTTAATTAACTCATTACTTTTAACACCGAGTTCAAAAGTATTTTCAAATGCCTAGAATTAACTTTCAGTACATTTTGAGTGAACTACACTCATCTCATTTGATGAAGTTGACTGTTTTACAGTGTAGCAATAAAAATTACAGCAGTGAGAAACTGGAAGTTAAGCAACTGATAATAGTGATGTGAGTGTTTACACTAGCTGTGCTATTTAAAAATGCTGCATTTTGCATTCTCTCACAGATATGAATCACTTATCAAAGAATGTTCATATATTGTGATAAAGAATTGAAGCATGTTTTTTTTCTCCCTCAAATAAACATTTTAGCAAATACTTAAAGTCTTTTTTGAGAAGTCAAAGGTTTTCTACTTAATTATTTTATTTTCTTACCATCATGTCCCTTCTGGGCTTCAATCTAGCTTCTGTTTTAACAAATAACTAAAAACAAAGAACAAACAGTACAGTCCTAAATGAATAAATTTGTACATTAAGTTATTTAATAACAGTTAGGTTTCATTTTAAATTAAACATCACAATCTACACAATTTCTTGCATCAAAAGTGAGGGTTTCTGCAGGCCTGAGTTGGTCGTAAAACAAGATTTCCATCATAAATGCTTGGCTAATCTTTTTCCCTAATATTAATGCTAAACAAAATAGGTTGATGGGACAACAATCCCAGACTGAGCCCTAAAACTGACGAATAATAAAACTATTGCCCCCAGGATAAAGACTGATACACATGTTTTACTTGGGTAAATCACTTCAAGATAGTTTTATGGTTGTCCATTTAAGATTTCCAGAAGTTAAGAGGCTGATGCTTGTGTTTTTGGCGAGGGGAAAGGATACTGCTGAAGCAAGACCTGCTGGAACTTGTCTGGAGCCAAGAAGATTGGGTGTGTTAGCATGAAGTCATCCAGGAGTATTTCTGCAAAGACACAAAGAGAAGAACACACACTCATTAGTGACATCACAACTGAACGAAATGTTCGTGTTTGTCTGAACAAAATGACTGATTGACACGAAGAGGACACACTGATGAAAGACCTCTCAAAGTCTCAATTTAAAAGCAGTTTTCATCAAAGTCAAAGCTCTGGGAAAAATATGAATTGGTTATACAGTAACAAAATGTTATATTAATAAACATGTGTATACATAAATCAACCATTAAACAAATTAAACGCCTTTTACATTTAAGAGTGGGCAACACAGTGGCCCAGTGGTTAGCACTGTCGCCTCACAGCAAGAAGCTCACTGGTTTATGGCAGTTGGCATTTCTTTGGGTAGTTTGCATGTTCTCTTCGTGTTGGCACGGGTTTCCTCCGTATGCTCCAGTTTCCCCCAAGACATGTGTTATCGGTGATTTAAATAAACGAATTGATAGCGTATGTGTGTGAATTAGTGTGTATGGGTGTTTCCCAGTACTGAGATGCAGCTGGAAGGGCATCCGCTGCGTAAAACTTATGCTGGATAAGTTGACAGTTCATTCTGCTGTGGCGACCCCTGATAAATAAAGGGACTAAACCAAAGGAAAATGAATGAATGAATTACTAACGAGTGCAAAAGTGGCAAAATGACAAGTGACACTTCATTTCTGTGAACAAAAAACAAGGTAGGTCAAAAATATCTTGGTGCAAAACACTGCAGTCTAATATGAGAAATGGTACTGTTTGTATTCTATCAGCTGCATGTTTCATAGTGAGGAGGTGTTTGACATTTCTACTCAATCTATCCGACTGTCTGATTCCAAATTAAACAGAACAGTTTTGATTTGGATTCAAGCTAAATTAATAATCACCTGTTCAATCATCTTTAAAAATTAAAATTTTATTTGTTAACTTTTCTTTTTAAGAAACTGGGGTCATGCAGGAAAACTATCGCCTTTAGTTTGATTTCAGACCACAAAAAAAAGACATTTACAGGTTTGACATGCATTTTTCAAAGTAGTGAATCCACACTTGTAATCTCTTACACACAATTAACGCTCTTGAAATTTAAAATGACGGTGTGTCTGGATAGAATTCTCTACGCTGTAGACACTGTAAAAAATGCAGGCCCCTATTTTGCATTAAAAAAGGTCATATTTTGGTTTTGGGGTCTCCAACAACAGGCTAATATACATGCAAGGTCAAAAACACCTCCATTAGCTATGTTTCCATGCAAAATTGCTAATTAAATTTATGCACAAAACTGGAATAATTGCATAAAAGATATGTAAATAAAGCCGTGTTTCTATTCAGAGTCAGAGAACAAAATCATCACATCCTGATAAACTGACGCCAAATATCAACAGTAAAAACAGAATTTGCTGCGGTAGGAAAAACGGTGTCAATATCTTTCTTATTTAACAAATAACTTGCGCCTCAGAAGACGATACAGTCATGCATGAACGCCTGGTGGCGTTTGAAGGCGTGAAATGTAGAGCACAGACGCTCTTGACAGTTCTGGAGGTAATTAATAACTAACAATCAATACTGAAATGATTAAGGTGTTTTAGAATGACCAAAACAACATTTCAGATGTTTTACGATGTACTCAGCCTGCTGGTTTGTCCATTCTCACACATTTTCATCATCACATCATCTCTTAAAACAAAATTATGACTTTCTTTTTTTGCACATACTGGAATTTGTTCATTAAAAGTGTTTCCATGTAGTTTATGCACATTTTTCTAATTGAATAAAAAAATTGATTACACTCAGTTATTTGCATATGATTTTTGTGCGCATTTTCAGCATTTATATGCATTTTGGCATTACCATCAAGTGTTTTTTTTTTAAGTGCATATACAAAATGCGCATAAAAATAGGTGGATGGATATGTATCTCATAATATGCATTTGTTTTTACCTAATTATCCCAACAACTGTCATATGATTTGTTAAGCGATTCATTTGTTCCCAAACCCCTTCCTTGAATGAGGCTAAACTGTGCTGATTGGTACGATGACCCAGTCTGTTGTAATTGGTCGACTACGTTCAGCACGAGACAGAGAGAAACCCCAACTTGGTTATGAAGTAATCCGAGTGCAGATATGTGTAAGCCTAATGCAGGAATGCAATAAAGCAATGCAGTTAAACCCCAGCATATTACGCTTAACAAAAACCCTAAGTAATAACAACGACACACATCCAGTATTAATCCACACAGTGGCAAAAGCTGAACTATTTAGAAAATTGCCCAAGCCGCGCATGTGAGGAACAGCTAATGGTGGCCATAGCAAAAACAAACGACAGAGGATCATGAGCTCACAAATGCATTTAAATTGGTAAAGCAAGAAGCACACATCATGTTTTCAACATGATTATATATGGATAACCCGTTTACATAAAGGTATAACCTGAGAGATACTGTGCAGTACTAGCACTGATCTATAATAGATAAGTGATTACAAGCCAAGTTACAGCATACAATTATAACACATATTTTGCAAACTGCAGAGAACGAGTCAACAACTTTAATTACACTTAGATGTTATGATGCGGAGGAAGAAGAAACTGAACTGTAACAGTCACTGACAAAGTCCCAAACATAACAGTCTATGCTGCTCCCGCCTTTGATAGCAAATGGCTGGCGAATCCTGCGTTGCAGTGCAGGTTATTGTATTAATCATCAGAAAAAAGACAGGAACAAACACCGTACTAGGTAGGCTATACTGTGATATTGTTATGAAAATGAATTTTAACCCTTTATTCCCCGCAGCCAAATCTCCATCTGTCAGTAATTGTCATCCTTGTGTCATGATCAGTCCCGTGATCCCCACATTCCGCTAGTGTCTAAAGAGAAAGGCGCAATCATGTTTTAACAGATCCATTGCGACATAATATATGATGTACCATATTGACATCGACACATTTAGCTAAATGATTCGAACCATCACTATTCATTTAATCGACTCCAAGTTGACTATTTCGTTAAAGAATCAATTGTTTTAAACACAGTGCACTTTCAGATTTAAACCTATGGATGATTTCATTCACTAATTTAAGTAGATTGAACATAAAACAATTAGGTTGTCCCAAAACAAATAAAAAATGTTAATGTTTCCACCTCATTTTAAATAAGTAGTTTGAACAAGCAGTAAAACCGTTGTGTGTGTGTGCAGGTATGAATCAGGAGTCTGGGCCTTAAGAATTCCGGCACTAATGAAAGAGAAGGAATGTTGTGAAATTGTCTTTCGTGCAGCCTCTGTCACAGCTGTTCTTGTTCGACAGGTTGCAAACAGTCTCTCTGTGTATGTGCCACCAGAAAAAAAGTTGAACCTGATGACACCAGCCTTCACCTCTGCTAACTCATCTCAAGGACAGTGAGTTTGTGGGTAGAATAAATCATGATGCTTTCTGGCCCAATTTGGACCACAGACACTCCCAGAGGCTGCAGTGCAAACATACAACAGACGTCTGAACGTTAGCAGCCAAAAGCAGAAAACAGCTCACTGAAAAACAGCATATTAAACTAGACGGTGTGATGTGCGCAAAAAGGAACAGAAATGTGTCAAATATGTTTGGATCTGGGGCACATCTTTTGACGGTGAGGTTTTTGGGGACTGTATTTTGGCTGTTGAGAGGACATGATGCTGATTATGTATCTGGGTTATATCAATGTGGAGCACATAAATCATTGATACGTAACTATTAAAGAAAACGTGATCGCCAAGAGGAATGAGAAAAGAGTCAGTAGCACAAAATGAACACGTCAGCTTCCAACATTACAGCTTTCACGTGCAAATAAGGCACCGCGTGCATGAACTAGGACCAAAATGCAAAGTTTGACTAGCACATTCCCATTTCAGTAGCTTGGACACGGAGCTGAATTTAATTAAGATGAACTGTCAGCTGAATTTCCTCAGTGGAATGATTCATCTGAACAGAGAAGATTCTCCCACAATCCTCCCCTGCTTTGCATACTGATTTGCAGGCTACAGTGGATCATGTTTTGTTTCAGTTCCTGACTGTGATTATTGAAAATGACACAAATGACGTCCTCCTGTCATTACGAGATACTGGGACTCAAGTCGCTGTAATGTGCCTATTAGAAATAAAACATGCTCCGACCTGCACACTTTACACCTTTGTGCATGTTTTTTGTGAAGTTGCACCTCTTTTGAGAGTTACAGGTGAGGCGTAATGAAAGCATGGGGAAGATAAGGTCACACGCACACCTCTTGAATAACAATTACAGCAGCATTCTGGTACTGATTTTTGTTAATAACTAACTAGAAGTGGATCATAGGCCTGTCATGATGAAGAATTTATTTTGTGCGATATATTGTCAGAGAAATTGTTGCGATAAGCAACATTATTGAGATAATTTTATGCTACTGATTATATAATAAAAGAGGAATGTAAATAGCCATTTTCAAGAGATAAGGATTTTCTATTAAGTTAATTTAGATTCTGTCCTTTGATGTTAAAATGTATGAGTGTGTTAAAGAAATGTATATATTAAATATATAAATACATGAATACATTTCAAAAATGTGTTTATTATTTGATTTCATTTCACAGATTTCCTTGATATTGTACATGCTGTTGTACATCAGACAAGCCTCTTCCACTACTGTTTTTAAATCTCTTCTTAAAACCCACTTGTTCAATTTGGCTTTTAGCACAGCATGAGATGTTGACATTTTATATTTATTTATTTGTATTTTAAAGTTTGTTTTGCTCTTTTTTTGTCAGAACTTTGGTCAAGTGTGTTGTTTTAAAGTGCTTTATAAATAAATTAAATTGAATTGATATTGGCAGGTATGTAATAATTTTACCCAGAGAACAGCACTAGATTATGCAACAGACATTACACAACTCTTATCTAAACTATTATATGTAAAAAGCAAACATATGCATTCATTCATTCATTCAATTTCCTTCAGTTTAGTCAATTTATTCATCAGGGGTCACCACAGCAGAATGAACCGTCAAATTATTCA